GTATTAACATTAAGACACTGATTAACAAATAATTTGTTTACTTAGAAGTGCTTTTGAAACGTTGCTTGTTTCTGTTAAGGCTTTTTTGTTTGAAAATTAAAAAATAAAACAGATATAAGTTTGAGACACACATTAAAGAGACGATGAACGTCAGCTTCAAACCTGATTTTTTTTACATTAATGTTTATGAAAATCTTACCAGTACGTTCACAAACAAAGATCTACTTTTCTTGCCTTTCGTGAGGAAAATTCCATGATTATATCATCATAGTCCAAACTGGAGGCTATGTCTTTTTCTATTGACAGAATCGACAGGCCGCAGAGCCTGTCTTGGGGCATCGTTGACCCTCAAATAGTTCTTGATCAACTTCAGTTTGAAGAAACTTCTTCGGCGCTTGCCACTGTGACTGGAACTGTTAGCAAGATTATGTAGGCGATCTCCGTATTGGGAAAGGAATCCCGAATACTCCAAATGTACAAGTCCTTTAATTTGCTGTATTGCTACATCAAGTTGCATATCGGCTGATTGTAGCGAATTTTGTTGGGAATGAATTATCTTCGCCAGAATCATTTTCAGAATGGCCGCTTGATTTGTCCCTATTGTCAAAATTCGGGGGGTTTGCAGCTGACAATAAATGACTCGAGGATTCATTATTACCGTCACCACCACAAATGGTAGTACTCTCATTGTAGTCCTTTTTGTTACGTTCCACATTTGCGACATTGGAATCCACAACCAAATCAAAAAGGTTTTGTTGTTTCTTTGGATAGTATATGTACTTGTCCAACGCGCATGCTTGTGTTTTATCAAATTCTTCTCTTAAATTGCGTTTCCTCGCTTTTGATGCGAAATCTATCTCTGTCTCTTGTAGCCATGGTGCAGAGGAAAAATGGTGAAATAACTTTGAAGCAACGTTAAATCGTTCCACAGTGCCGGGTGATAGTATCAATATTTTCTAAATTTATCGAGTGTTAACAGTGGCATTCAAAGTGTGTGGATGCCGGGGAAAATAGCAAAACATTGATAGATTTCGGAATAAGCTCGAATTGTGAAAAACACTGTTTACGGCTATAGATATCCAAATGAAATGACTCTCAAATGTAATCACGGACGCTCAGTAGAGTGGAACACTGGGGGGGGGGGGGGGGTGACAGTTGGTGAGGTGAGGTGAAGGATAACTGTACATTTAAATCTATGTGATGCCAAACCCTAAAAAAAAAATCAGTTCGGGTACTACGTTACTGGATCTCTGACCGCAGCCATTCAAGAGAAGGTGCGTGTTTATATAGCATACACGTATTACATTACAGGTTAAGACCGTGTTCTCACAAGAGAAGGTTCGAGCCTATAATTAGAAAGTGAACCATGTGACAGCCAGCTTCATGTTATTTATGTGTTTCGCAACAGCATGCTCGGACTGCCTGTAATTTAGACGTTTTAGAAATCAGGAGAACTTTACCATAAAACAGTCTCGGCCCGATGTATCAAACAGTATAGACTTTATAATTTGTTTAGTGTGCCTACACTATTTTAAAACAAGAATCACTATGGTCTTAATTATTATACTAGATATCCCTACAATTAATTTAAATAAACATGTGCTTAATCACTTTACGAATACCGTTAAAGTTTACCAAAATGAAAATGGACATAATTACTGTATATGCCCTTTAAAAATATAAATATTAATACAAGTATAATGTATAATGTATTTAAAGATGACAATATATAAAATAAATATGAACATAATTACTGTATGGATGCCTATGAAACGTATCGTGGTGAATAAGCACAAAAGATGCCCATACAGTGCATAAATTATGATTTTAGGGATAAATACTCTGGATTTCTGGGGCATGTCCCCATTCGCTATCCCCCCCCCCCCCCCACCTCCTCTGCAAGCCATCATCAGGACACTGACTGTTTACTACAGGCACCCCCGCCTGCTCACTAAAAAAAAAAACGTCTTCGACGGTCCGCTTATAATAGGGTATCTGTTTACGTGTTTTTCCCGATTTTAACTCCCATGTCGGGTCAAGGGCTAATTCGCGACCGCCATCTCTAGTCACCTCAGGACAATTGCGAGTCGACCGTGCCAGCGATGTGTGACACTAATGTCTTCGTATCGAATAACGGTCTGTACCAGTCCATGTAGAGGATAACTCACTAACATCAGCCGTGGCCTCAGTTTTAACATCCAACAATTTCGGCCATTTAGTGTTTTTATTTTTTTTAATTTAATTCAGCAAAGATTATTTAAGTTTACAAACTAATTCAGGCAACAATGGCGTTGCTGAAGCGCGGGGCCCCTACAAGCGCGGGGCCTGGGGCGACCGCCCCGTTTGCCACCCCCTAACGCCGGCTCTGGATGCGGGACAGCTGAAAACTGTGGCAGGAGACTGTTGAGAGAGGAAGCTTTGAAATAGAAATATTCTAAAAGTGACTTTTATTATGTCTTTTTTTTAATTGCAGAATGGACATTTATTTGTCTTTAATATCAAACATTTGTAAAGTATTTTTAAAAATATCAAACTTCTGTAAGGTTTTTTTTTTAAATTGTCTAACTTTTGTTACATTTGTTATTTAAATCTAAATGTGTAACAGTTATGTATTTTTAATATTTAACTTATGTTACGTTTCTTTTTAAAGTCCCTCCCCTCATACAATGTCCTCATCTAGCTTTAGTGGATAATTGTATCCACTCTGTCTACCCGTATCCACATGCTCTTTTTATTAGTCTTATCACCACCATCTAACCCCATCACAAATAATATGTCACTGTTGCGTATGACAAAATCAGCTGAACAAAGACATACAAAATCCACACAGACAAATGGCTGGCGTTTATTATGGAACTTGTCATATATGTTATCTTACTCTCCAATCAGATTGGGCGGGGGGGGGGGGGTGCTGGCTGTGACGCCATTCTTGCCGTACTAGTAGGGGTCTATACAGGGCGTGTTCGAAATGATGTATGTTTGATAAAAGCGTATTATCCGAGAGCTAGCGAAGCGAGAAATCTCTCAAGCAGAACGTGGTTTTTTTTAAATGTGGGTTGAGACCTCTTCACGTCATCCCTGGATGGTCTTGTCGTTTTTGTTCTGTCTGTAGATTTTGTCAAAACATTGGTGTTTATGTGTTGTAAGACACGTCGTTATAGAGATAGTTCATTAATTGCGCTAGACACGTCTAAATATATTGCACTGCTTGTGTAAGCGTTAATCGCAGCTAGATTGGCTGATATATAACATTACATGTATATCAGTTAATGTCAGCTAGATATGCTGATATATTACACTACATGTATATCAATGTAAGCTAGATTGGCTAATCTATTACATTACTTGTATAACAGTTAATGTCAGCTAGATTGGCTTATATATTACACTATTTGTATATCAGTTAATGTCAGCAAGATTAGCTGATATATTATATTACGTGTATAACCTTACAATTAAAGAGAAATAACGTCAGCACTATATCCAGCCACCTTCACCTCCCCTAACCTGTGTCAGGTACCAATTATAACTGAGCAGACTAAAGGCCCTGAATTTGCGACTTTTGAGTTAGCAGTCGTGCGCTCTAAGCACCGACTCATTCAAATACTGAATTGTTCATGAGCAAACACTTCCGACTATTAGGAAACAATTCGGAAACTTTCCGTTTGCTATATATAATAAACATATATGTAAAACAGAACAGTACCCTATGTACCACATGTTATAGGCCTACTGCATTTCCTACGATTTCACCACATCGTATCATATTATTTTATTTCTAACTGCGTCATTTTGTTAATTTAAATCATGAGAATGAGAAAATACATTTTTATCATCATTAGATAAAAGCTGAACAAGAAAATAAAACGAACTTGCTTTCTTAAATAAAATATTATTTTGTCGCTCATAAGATCCCTTGTATATTATAGCGACCAAAGCTTTTTATTTAAAAAAAAAGTTAGTTTTATTTTCTCATGTTCAGTGCATTTAAAAGCTTATAATTATGCATACATTTTATATTTGCTTTATTGTTCATGTTTTAGTCCTTCGTTCTAAGATTTCCCCATAAAGAAAATAAACCGGGAGTGATCTCCCCTAAACTTTCTCGAATATTCTTATATAACACTACCGGGATGGCAACTCGGGATATAGACATGATTACTTTCTCGTTTGCGAAGTATAGAGGAAGTATTGTGCAAAATAAAATCTAGATTATTAAAAATCTCGACGTTTTAAGGCACGAAAAAAATTGTAAGTGTTCCGCTAATACAATGTAGTTGATCTGTAGTTAGGGTATTCAGTCATGCCAAAAAAACTACGCTTCATCATTTTATTTTGTACGCCATATCACATATTTATACCTTATAGGTTAAAAATAATTGAAAGAAGTTCCCTGATTAATGACAATTAACAAATAATGTATTGACAGGTTTCAAAAAATTAGAGGGGGGGGGGCGATAAATGACGTCATACTAGGGCTGAAGATTCGGAATTGACGATGTGTTACATGGGGGAAGGGGAAAGGGTTCAGAAAGTGTGACGTTTAAAAAGTAATGTTGGAAAAATAATTCTAGCCGTTATTTCGCATTTTTAAAAGGCTGCTTTAAAAAATGTAATAGAGATTAATGAATGTATTCAATGTTGGTGGAGGTCAGTCGATATTTTACGAAGAAATCGATGTTTAAAAAATAAAAACTGCAGTTTTGAAGGGGGGGGGGGGGATAGGCTGAGGTGAGACGTCATATATTTTTGTAACATGTGTGACGACGGGGAGGGGGTGGAAATAATTTTAAAAAGCGTCATGTCATTTATGGCTAACCCCTCATCCATGTATTTAACTCCGATGGACAGGGTATGTATGTATAATGTAATGTAATGTATGTAATGTAACGTTATGTAATATAATGGTATGTAATGTAATGACTGTGTTGCCTATACTTACAATACTCGATGTTTTCTACCTTGTTTGACCTCTGACCTTCTTGTGCCATGTTGCAGGGGTCAGGAGTGACATGACATGACGACACCATGTCTGGTGGCGTTCATTTCTGTTTTCATTCTCTGCTCTACGCCAGGGTCAAGGTCTCAGACGACTCTGATGACAACGCCATGTAAGTACACCCACACACCCACACACACCTCACACATCCCATACCTCACACCCACACACACGCACACCCACTACATACACACCGACACACCCCACACCACACCACACCGCACACACACTCGCACATACCGCACACACGCACCCTCACACATCCCCCCACACACACACGCACCGCCACACCACACCGCACTCACGTTCATACACACCCCCGACACACACTCGCACATAACTCACACACACACCCTCACACACACGCACACCTACACACACATCCTCACAAATAAACAAATACACACTTCACCACATACACCTGAAAATTTAAATTGAAAAAATTTAATGTGAACAAAAGTTAACTTAAACGTCTCCCAAAACCGAATTTAATGTAAACTAATGTTAGCCGCTCTTCAGCCCTACAAATGTTAACTACTCCCAAGATATAACGTAAATAAATGTTAAATGCTCCCAAAGTATGACGCAAACAAATGTTAACTTCTCCTAAAGTATAACGTAAACAAATGTTAACTTCTCCCAACATATAACGTAAACAAATGTTAAATTTTCCAACATATTACGTAAACAAATGCTAAATTCCCCAACATATAACGTAAACAAATGTTAAATTCCCCAACATATAACGTAAACAAATATTAACTTCTCCCTACATATAAAGTACACAAATGTTAACTTCTCCCAACATTTAACGTAAACAATTGATGTTGACCTGTCCCCAGCCCCACTAGCGCATGACGTATTTTTCCTGATCGACTGCAGCGAGTCTGTAGGGCAGGCCAACTTCCAGGCACTCTTGAACCAGATCTTGGACGTCTACATCAAACAATGGCCGATAGGAGAGGATCAGGTGAGGGAAGATCGACACATACACACACACATACACACACATACACACACATACACATACAAATATATATATATATATATATATATATATATATATATATATATATATATATATATATATATATATATATATATATATATATATATATATATATATACATATATATATATATATACATATACATATATAAATATATATATATATATATATATATATATATATATATATATATATATATATATATATATATATATATATATATATAATATTGCCTGAAATTGTATACGGCTCTAACCGTGGTGGTGTGTGTTCCCTAGGTACGTGTAGGTGTGATAGCCTTCTCCACGACCTTCACCATGGTTGCTTTAACTGGCAACCTCACACAGCTGGAGCAGCAGGTCCCTACCCTGTTCTATGAGGGACGAGGCACCAACACGTATATAGCTTTTGATCAAGCTAGGACTTCACTGATGGTGAGCACAATTTGGGTTGCACGCAACTATTTAAAACACAATACAATAGTATCATTACAAACGTGATTCAAAACTTAGAATAACCTTCAAAATACCTAAAAAAATATAGTATTATGATACTTAAGTATATGAAGAAAAAGAAAACCGACTACTGTAGGCTAACTTTTGTATAGATATGTTTCCGTTTAGGGTAGGCTAACTTTTGTAAAGAAATGTTTCCGTTTACTGTATGCTAACTTTTGTAAAGAAATGTTTCCGTTTACTGTAGGCTAACTTTTGTATAGATGTGTTTCCGTTAACTGTAGGCTAACTTTTGTAAAGATCTAGGTATGACGTATGTTTCCGTTTTTTTTCACTTCAGTCTAGCAGACAACCTGGCAGACAGCAACACGTGATCGTCATTACAGATGGAGTGTCAAGGTTTCCATCGGTCACCAAAGCTGTACGTATATCACGTGTTTTGATTGGTCCAATCATAGCAGAGTTTGAAATAAATAAAAAAAGCTCATAGTAATAGTATACAAAAAATGTTCTCCTATAGTCTTTATTAACCAACTTTTATGAAGTCTATTCGTCTGTTATAGTGTACTCATTTGTTAATGTAGAAGGTAGTATCCTAACATCCTTTCCTAAACATCATTCCCTAAGTCCATTTAACATCATTCTATAAATATCAGCTCCTTAATATCACACCCTAAACATCATAATCTTAACATCACATCGTATTCATCATCATCCTTATTCTATATTCACATCATCATCATCTTAGTACCACACCATATACAACATCATCTTAACACAACCTAAACATCATTATTTTATCATAACATCGTTAACAGCGTTTTTATATCATCTTATTGTGAACATCATCTTAGCACCACCCCTTAGACATCAGCTTAGTACAACACCCTAAATATCATCTTAAATATCATCTTAACATCACAACCTAAACTTCATTATTTTATAATTACATCATAATCACCATCAGCTTAGCATCACACCATGAACATCACCACAATAACTTCGCATACGAAATACCATTCCCCTTACCAGAGCACTCTGATATAATTTTAAACCTAGCCCTTTAGCGTCGTTTCCTAAACATCAAGTCCATAACATCAGCTTAATGAAACTCAGACACCTTGATATATTTGATTCAGCTTTATAAAACTCAGACATCACGATATATTTTATAATCAGCTTTATAAAACTCAGACATCACGATATATTTTATAATCAGCTTTATAAAACTCAGACATCACGATATATTTGATTCAGCTTAATAAAACTCAGACACCTTGATATATTTGATTCCGCTTTATAAAACTCAGACATCTTGATATATTTGATAATCAGCTTTATAAAACTCAGACATCACGATATATTTGATAATCAGCTTTATAAAACTCAGACATCTTGATATATTTGATCCATGTGTATCCCTCCCTCACAGAACGCTGAGAAGCTCCGGAACGACGGGGTGGACATGTGGGCCATTGGCGTGGGTGGGGACTTCAGGGTGCTGGAACTGGCGTGGTACACAGGGGACATCCTCCACGTCTCCGCCACCCCCACGTTCGGCGTCCTGCCGGATATAGGCATCAACATTCCAGGTAGAGATTTTTGTTACTGTAGTCACGTGATAGGTGTCTCGGGATGATGGGCTTAACGTCCCAAGCGTGAGGTCATCATCTAAAATGTTCGACTCGACGAGCGACTCCTGCTCGCGTTTTTCCCGCACAAACACGCAGTCCGCCATCTTGATGAAATAGATTTTTCAAACAAAATTTTCTATTTTTAAATCTTATCTACCAAATCTAGTCAAGAAAACTGTCAGACAAGACGCTCCATACGGCCGTCATATTGATATGTTCATTTGACCTCCTCACATGAAGGGATTTTCATGTCAACTTTTGATTCAAACATCTGTAATGTCCACGGTTTGGATGATGTAAAAAAAAAACAGATCGGGATAAATGGATCCCAGGAATCTACTTAAAGATTGTGTTTTAGCTACTGAGGTCTCACAAAACGTTGGGATAAAAAAAATTTCGATTACTTCAAATACATTGTAGATAATTTCAAATAGATGCCAGATCACCTAAAATAAATGTCCGATTACTTGAAGCAAATGTCTTATTTTAAACAGACATCAGAGTATTTCAAATTGATTTCAAATAAATATAAGAATACTTTATGTTACATAAATGCTTATATATATATATATATATATATATATATATATAAATAAATAATTATATATATATATATATATATATATATATATATATATATATATATATATATATATATATATTTGTATAAGTATAAGTATATGCATATATATGTATATATATATATATATATATATATATATATACATATATGTGTAATTTTGAATCTTAATAACTGTTTATATGTCATCAGTGGTCCAAACCACAACAGCGCCACCTGTCATCACCCCAACAAGTGTCACCAGCAGCGACATTCTGGCATCGTCGTCCAGGTCTAGCCTGATTACTTCCCTTGGGGCGACAACCGGAACACAAGCCCCTACGTCATCAACCGGACCTACGTCATCAACCGGACCTACGTCATCAACACTGCAGTCTACCGGCTTTGCATCCGTTTCGTCATCTTTCGCTCAGAGCCCAACCACCAATCTACAACCCTCGCAGACGGTCATTCAAGGAACATCTTCTTCCGCTCAGAGTGGATTACTGAACCCAACCACCACTGTAGTGCAGAACCCAACCACCAGTGGAGTACAGAGAGCAACCACCAATCTTCCACCAGCACCATCTACGACCAGTTTCGAAACGTCAGCGTCGCTTGTTGGATCGACGTCCACTGCACAAATCTCGTCTTCAAAAACGTCAAACCTCGCTAGTTCAGTAGGGGCGACAACTGGATACATCTCAAGTTCTCCGATTTCTCCACCTTCCCCGTCATCTCTGCAAGCTTCAGCCTCCCAAATCAGCTCTTCTACACCAACCTCACCAGTCAACCCAACACCATCGAGCACAACCTTCCAGAACTCTCAACTCACCTTATCAGCATCCCAGCAACCCCCTGCTCCCACCTCTACACTCAACCCTTCTTCTCCCCAAAGCTCATCTATGTTGACTACCGGTAAATTATCCAGCACGGCTACCATCATCTCACAACAGACAACGCAGACCACACTAATTAACCCTTCATTACCCACCACACTAATTAACCCTTCATCCCCCACAAACTTTCCAGCCTCCACCACAGTCCCCATCCTAACAACCCCACCCACCACTGGAATACCCACCACGGGATTCACCACAACCCCACAGCTTTCCCGCACAACACTTTCGCCATCCACCACCGTCTTCAACTCACCAACTGCATCAACCACCGTCTTCAACTCACCAACTGCATCCACCACCGTCTTCAACTCACCAACTGCATCAACCACCGTCTGGATATCCGCCTCTAGAACCACGACACTGTCCCCCATCACAATGTCCACGTTAGCGCCTTCATCGTCCAGACTTCCGTCGAGTCTGAGCACCACTGCAACAACGCCGATGAGGTCGTCAAGAATGTCCTCCAGCGCGTGGCATACGACACACACGGTGCAGCCAAGTTACACGTCATCAATCATCCCAACCCCAACACAGTCCCACTGGCCTTCCTCCACAGACGTGCCTATAAACAGGGGCGTCCTTGACGACGGAAGTACCAACTTTGATGATCTTGAAAACGGTAGGTGTCGTGTAAAAATAGATTCGTTTTCTTTTTCCATTCATTTTGCTAGTTGTTTTTTTTTTCTTTAAATAATTTAAATAGCGTGCTTAGTTCATTAGTCATTCATTTGACTTGCTACTGTGGTCTATTTAACACGTCACATGCAAATTTTAATGAGTAACGAATGTGTTATTTAAGGTTTGCCGTATTACAGTACTAAGAATCGCCTCTTTTAGAATGGACATTAAATATTATCTTTTAAGGGGAAAAATACATATTTAAATTTAAATGAATTGGATTATTTATCAAATTGACAGTAGTATTGTTGAAATAATAAATTGACCGTTGAAATAATAAATTGACCGTTGAAATAATAAATTGACCGTTGAAATAATAAATTGACCGTTTTATTGTTGTAATGATAAATTGACCATATTAATGATTAGTTGACCGTTGTAATGTTGTGATAAATTAACCGTTGTAATGATAAATTCGTTGTAATGTTGCAATTGACCTTTGTATTCTTGTAATGACATATTGACTTGTATTGTATATTTGTAATGAAATATTCTGTCTGTCCTCTCTCAGCTGGTATCTGCTGCGGTGCTGTGGCCAGGAGCGGGTTCGGATACGTCTCGCACCCCACTGACCTCGACAAGTACATCCAGTGTCACAGGTCACAGAACAAGGTCACGGCCGCTGTCAGGACATGTCCTATAGGACAAAGCTGGAGCCAGGACTGGCTTAAATGTGTCAATCCCTGGTCCAGCTGTGAGGGTAAGTTTTATGTTTCTTGGGGGTCGTCCTACTCTTAGGGGTCGGTCTTGGGGTCATCCCAGGGGTCGTCCTACTCTCAGGGGTCGTCCCAGTGGTCGTCCTACTCCCAGGGGTCGGTCTTGGGGTCATCCCAGGGGTCGTCCTACTCTCAGGGGTCGTCCTAGTGGTCAACCTAGGGGTCGTCACAGGGGTCGTCCAAGTGGTCATCCCAGGGGTCGTCCCAGTGGTCGTCCTACTCCCAGGGGTCGGTCTTGGGGTCATCCAGGGGTCGTCCTAGTGGTCAACCTAGAGTCGTCACAGGGGTCGTCCTAGTGGTGGTCCTAGGGGTCAACCTAGGGGTCATCACACGGGTCGTCCTAGTTTTGATCCCAGGGGTCATCCTAGGGGTGGTCCTATGGTCCTCGTTAAGATCGTTCATAAAAGACGTCACGCTTTTTAAAAAGATCTCCCCCCTCCCCACCCTAATCGTCACAGTCAGACCCCCCTAAAATGACGTCACACTCAGCCTACCATCAACCACCCCCCCCCCCCCCCACTCATTTCCTCTTTAAACTGACCTTTTTAAACAGCAATTTGTTTATAAAATATTAAGTGAGCAGGATTGATCAATTTGTATTACAATTTACAAAAAAAACTCCTTTAAGAATTGCAAAATAAACAGCTTAAATTCAGCTTCAGACATTGCTTTTTAAAAAAAACCTAAAAGTGTGTCGTCACACTTTCCTACAACACTTTATGTACCTGTATAACAAGATCTTATATACATATACAAAGACCTTACATACCCGTATAATGAAACCTTATATATCGTACGTCGAGACATTAAATACCGTAAGAGGAGACCTTGTATCTATATAACGAGACCTTATATATCTGTATACCGGGACCTTATAATCTGTATAACAAGACCTTATATATCTGTATAAAGAAACCTTATATATCCTTATAACGAGACCTTATATATATGTTTAACGAGACCTTATATATCTGTATAACAAGACCTTATATACCCGTATAATGAAACCTTGTATATCTCACGTCGAGACATTAAATACCGTAAGAGGAGACCTTACATATCTGTATGACTAGCATTGCCGACGCCAGGTTATTAAGCGCCCTAGGCAAAACTTATTAAAGCGCCCCCTTTCACACAAATAAATTACTAAAACATATGCGTTAGAAAAAAAATCATTAAAAGTGAGATATTAATTTATTATCAATTGCATAAACGTTAAATGTAGACATCAAAATCAAATTTTACTTGCCTCCTTCGTTGCAAAAGTTTGTACTAATTCCTCCAATTCCAGTTTGCAAGCGTAATCACGTTTTATTGAAATTGTTGCTAAGTCCACGAGTCTACTTTGTACTTTATGACATAGCGCCACCCACCCCCCCCCCCCCCTTAGAAAATTGTAAGTGCTTCCCCCCCCCCCCCCCCATCCCTCCTGGGGGGAAAAGTCTGGGAAAAAAATCACTGAAAAAAAAAGTTCTTGTAGTGTTCGACTCTCTGCAGTCCTCCCAAGGTGAGTTCCAAAACGGAACTTACCTGTTTTAAGCTTGACTGTTTTTACTTATTATTGTTAAATGTCTATAATGTGTGTTTATGTTACGCTTTATTTGTTTTTAAAAAATAAAAGGTTATAAATGTTATAGATTCCAGCCTAAAATTGTTATATATGAATCCTTTAGGAGAGGGTGAAAAATATGAAAAGACAATTAATTACATGTTTAATGTACGACTAAGACTCAGTGGCGTAGCGAGGTCGGGTGTCACCCGGTGCGGCACTTAATGGTGTCACCCCCCAGAAGCGTAGCGACCCTTCCCGGGCAAAATCTTTCAAATTTTCGATTTGCACCCCCCCCCCTCAAACTTTCGATTTGCACCCCCCCCCCCCACCCTCAAGACTTATCGATATACTCTACTAGATCTAGTAAGGCCTACTACATTCACATCACATATCAAAGTTCGATACCTAAACATAACTAGACTCGATGCTCCAGAACTACGAACCAACTCGTTTAACTTCACCAAGCTCTAGGAACGGTACTCCCAATCAACTACGATTTCACTGGACCTACTACTACACTTTAACGGTCAAATAATTCGATACCTTAATACCACAAGAATCAATACTCCCGAAGTCCAGAACTACGATACGTATCATCTACATTCTCATTTCTCTACTACCAATCAGATTCCACTAGACTCTAGACCTTCAACCAAACAACAGCCAAATAAAAAATACAACACTTTAACACTTAGATACTTTATACCTACGAAACCATATCAGCAACAGCCTTCCGTCGTTATTCCCAAATCTAAACGATTCATCCAAACTTACCAAATAAGTGACAGTACTTTAAACACCCCGTCATTACAAAACTCTATACACCAGAGTTTCTTCCAGGCATCTCTTTGGAAGAAAGTCTACCGACCCCCCCCCCCCCCCCCCCGAGAAAAAAGTCTGGAAAAATCACTGCCAGGACATATTTCTGATTCAAAGTCAGAGAAAACGAGACTTAGTTGGTGGCCCATACTCCAGCAGGACAGAGAACTCTGGAGAGCTGTAGTTGGTGGTCCATACTCCAGCAGGACAGAGAACTCTGGAGAGCTGTTGTTGGTGGCCCATACTCCAGCAGGACAGAGAACTCTGGAGAGCTGTTGTTGGTGGCCCATACTCCAGCAGGACAGAGAACTCTGGAGAACCTGGGCAGCAACTTAGCTCGCCAGAGTTCTCTGTACTGGGCCATTGAATGACGCTGATCCACATGTGATCCTGTTTGGTCATGTCTACGTCAAGTTCTGAACACCAGGTGTTTTGTAGCATTTCATTTGCCTTTCTTACCCTGGGTGTGATCCCTGTTCATCGCCATCTCCTTACGATTTCTTCTTAGCCGTGAGTTGGTAGGTCTTTAGCCGTGAGTTGGTAGGTCTTTAGCCGTGAGTTGGTAGGTCTTTAGCCGTGAGTTGGTAGGTCTTTTGCCGTGAGTTGGTAGGTCTTTAGCCGTGAATTGGTAGGTCTTTAGCCGTAAATTGGTAGGTCTTTAGCCGTGAGTTGGTAGGTCTTTAGTCGTGAATTGGTAGGTCTTTAGCCGTGAATTGGTAGGTCTTTAGCCGTGAGTTGGTAGGTCTTTAGCCGTGAATTGGTAGGTCTTTAGCCGTGAGTTGGTAGGTCTTTAGCCGTGAGTTGGTAGGTCTTTAGCCGTGAGTTGGTAGGTCTTTAGCCGTGAGTTGGTAGGTCTTTAGCCGTGAGTTGGTAGGTCTTTAGCCGTGAGTTGGTAGGTCTTTAGCCGTGAGTTGGTAGGTCTTTAGCCGTGAGTTGGTAGGTCTATTGCTGAAAGTTCGTGTTGTTTGTGGTGTCTAGGATGATTCTACTCACCCGGCTGTTATTGAATGTCTAGGCTCTTATGTTTATAGCCCTGAACACCCCTCTATCTGGGGCGGACAGGCCCGCCGATCTACCGGGAAAATCCTGGTGGGCCCCATGAAACTGTGCAGCAGTAAATATTCCTATTTATGTTTTCATATTTTTTTTCTAACAATGTGTTGGTATTTTTCCACTTTACCTTTTCTATCCCTTAATTCCAAAGTGTAACATTGTAGGCCCTATTTGATGGGGAAAAATCACAATGGAAATTTCAATCTAGAGTTGAGGGCCCCTTTGAAAATTTCCTGCGCCTTTTGGACACAGCCAGTGCACCCCTACCCTCTATGTGTTTAAAAACAAATGCAGTTCTCTTGTTTGTAAATTGATGTATAATTGATGTATAATTGATGTATAATTGATGTATAATTGATGTATAATTGATATATAATTGATGTATAATTGATGTATAATTGATGTTCCTCAGATGCGTGTAGAAGAAAAGAAGACGGCCTCACATACAAGATGGCCGGCAAATGTGGGTTATACTGGGAATGTTCAAATGGACTTTCAGTGGTCAGAAGTTGTAGACCACAGGAGGCTTACGTGGCAAATCGAGGCTGTGTCTATCAGCCAAACTGCAAATACATCAACATCAAGTCCGATGCTTGCGGTGGATCGGGTAAGGTTTAACCATTTTAAATTAACTTTTCGTTTTCTTCCTTGCTTTAGTCTTCTTTAATTTTTTTTCTGTCGTTATTTTGAACTTCACAAATTGGGTTGATAGTCAACTCTAGTGTTCTGAAATAAATTCGCTGAGTTTCAAAAGAATTTTGTACTAATGGCTAATTCTAGCTAAATAAAGAGGCCAGAAAAATGTGAATTTTTAGATTAATAGTTCATTTCTATTCAATATGTATTTTATTCATTATAAATAACTTTTAATTATGAAAATTTCTAATCTATTTCTAGATGCGTGATTGATAGTTTATTTCCATCATTATATATTTTATTCCTGATAAATAATTTTGATCTATTTCTAGATGTGTATTGATAGTTTATATCTATTCAATATATATTTTATTCCTAATAAATATATTTCATCTACTTCTAGATGTGTGATTGACAGTTTCTTTCTATTCAATATATATTTTATTCCTAATAAATATCTTTGATCTATCTCTAGATGTGTGATTGACAGTTTCTATCTATTCAATATATATTTTATTCCTAATAAATATCTTTGATCTATCTCTAGATGTGTGTGACCTAAAGCCACTGCGGTACAATGCTGGCTACAAAATAAAGCTGAACGTTGGTTGGGCTGCCATTCCTTGCTTGTACCATACCCAGTTTGATTTGGCCTCCTGTTCGTGTAGACCAAAGCACAGTTTTTACAAAGGTTGGCATTGTTAGAATTAGACTCATAGGCCTACTCTCGTAGGAAAAAAAATAGTCTAATAAGAAATAACCTAAGGCTTATGATATATAGGTCTATGTCTTGTGGGTAAAGTGAATTACAGTAATCCTTTTTCACTAGACCCTGCATGACCAATGACATAAAAAAATATAAAAAAACTGATGAATACAAAAATACCCTCCTTTTTTACTTTTCAGACTGCAGATGGGCAGCTTCATTAGGCCCCACAACTAAAATCTCCAACAATAGAAACAACAATAGCAACAGCACTGACCTAGACACAAACCAGCATATGATGATGTATATATCGGAGTCCTCGTTCAGACCTTTTGCCTTAAAGTTCCAGTTCAGGACCGTAGCAGGGCGAGAGGAAGTGATTTTACAGTCAAAAGAGTGTGACCAAGGGGGACAACTAGTTGTCTCTGCAGACAATGTAACAATCAACGTACAGATATTTTCAGATGCAGATGATTCTCTGGAAGCATCGCTGCCACTAGAGGTATGCAGTAGTTTTATGTCAGTTATTTTGGTTAATTTGTTAGTGAAATATTCATACAGATATATATATTCACAAATATACAAAATATAATTAGTCTATGTATAATATATACATATATATATACATATATACATATATACATATATACATATATACACACACACACACACATATATATATATATATATATATATATATATATATATATATATATATATATATATATATATATATATATATATATATATATATATATATATGTATATATGTATATATACATATATACATATATACACACACACATATATATATATACACATATATGCATATATATACATATATACATACATATATATGCATATATATATATATATATATATATATATATATATATATATATATATATATATATATATATATATATATATATATATATATATATATATATATATATGTGTGTGTGTGTGTGTGTGTGTGTGTATGCATGTGTGGTTATTGAAATTATAAGCTAGTTTATTTACTGCTTAAAAAAACTTTATTGTTTGAACTGTATCGTCACACTCCATTTAATAGATTGTTGCATTACACTTGAACTATTTTGATTTATTACTGTAAACATTTTTTTTTTGTTATGTTTGATGAAAGGGATTAGAAGGGGAGTGGCTTGAGGTGACAGTTGTATACTCCAGGGGTGAGCTGTCTATAGAGGTCACTGGGGGAGACCTAACATACACCTCATTCACTAAAGGTGAGATCAGGTTTGATTAAGGTTAGGATTATGTACACATTATATAATAAGAGGAGAATGAAGGATGTTTATCATTCTGTTATAATTGTATATGGGGTATGGTGGTGAAGTAATCAGAATTATATAAAACGCCATTTTTTTTTTAATCTACAATCTTTGGAAAGGTTGGATGAATAAGCAAACTCCTTACATATTATCAATTTAAGGTTTTGCAATCATTTGTAATAAAAATGTAACAAATTTTCTTTAAAGTTATGGAATAATCTAAATTTTTATAGTACCAAATGGTGCACATTTTATTTTGGTTTCTTTTAGGGGAGGGTGAGAGTCATGTCAGGTGCACTGGTTTATCACATGACAGAGTTGTGATTTAGATTGATCAATATGTTTCAAATATGTGATCATCAACTGTATACACTGTGTTGTGGTCATTAGCATTACATGTTATATCTTTACATGTTATATCCTTGTCAATATGTACCTATGGAGCTACACATTGACTTCTTAACTGCTAAAATTTAACTCTTTTTATGAAGTTCAAAAACTTGTAAATAAAAAAATAAAAAAATAAAGCAATGTTAATGTGGGCTTTTTTTTTATTGGTGAAATTTTTATAAAATAGGTTTTTACTCAAGAATATATAGTATGAACATTTATAGGCCTACTTACTCTAGAACAATAAATTACTAAAATAATTGCTTCTATTTGTCTTTTATTCTAAAAGGGATTAGAATAATCAGTGCACTAATACAAATTAAAAGCTGGAGATATAAAAATTTATTTTAATTCTTTTAAACATCTTTATTTCCAGGTGGACTAATTTAATATTTTAAACATCTTAATTTCCAGGTGGACTAATTTAATATTTTAAACATCTTAATTTCCAGGTGGACTAATTTAATATTTTAAACATCTTAATTTCCAGGTGGACCAATTTAATATTTTAAACATCTTAATTTCCAGGTGGACTAATTTAATATTTTAAACATCTTAATTTCCAGGTGGACTAATTTAATATTTTAAACATCTTAATTTCCAGGTGGACCAATTTAATATTTTAAACATCTTTATTTCCAGGTGGACGAATTTAATATTTTAAACATCTTTATTTCCAGGTGGACTAATTTAATATTTTAAACATCTTTATTTCCAGGTGGACCAATTTAATATTTTAAACATCTTAATTTCCAGGTGGACCAATTTAATATTTTAAACATCTTAATTTCCAGGTGGACCTCTTATTCAGTTTGGACTTTGTGGTTGGGATTTCGGAACTTCCGGTGTTCTTGAAGGAATGTCCGATTTTACAGGTGAAATTAGACAGGTGAGTTGGTAAACACAATTTTGTTTATATTGTTCCCTTTTTGAACCTGATGATCCATGGAGTAAGTGAAGTAGAGTACACCTGTTCCTGTGACCTCAGCATATGAAGGGATAGTGTAGTTAGCACTATGCCTAGCTGCCTTTACTTTCCCTAACGTGAGTTAGGTACCCATCATGGACATTTTACTGACATGATACCAGATTCGAACTCAAGACTTTTGGGTTAGCAGTCTAGCGCTCTACTGCTAGGCCATGCTGTCACTGTTTATGTATTAGAGAATTTGTATTAAAAATTAAGTTTTTACTTATCCTTGTTCTGGGACGGAGTGGTCTAGCGGTAGAGGGCTGGACTGCTAGCCAGTAAGTCTCGAGTTCGAATCCGGGTTCAAGTCACTAGACCATCCCTGAGTCCAAATAACTCTGATGGGTACCTAACTCACATTAGGGAAAGTAAAGGTGGCTGAGCATAGTGCTGACCACATTATCTCTTCATATGCTGAGGTCACAGAAACAAGTGAACTCAACTTCACTTGCTCCATAGACCACCAGGTTTGAAAGTGAAACTTTTACTTTTTTATCCTTGTTCAAATGCTGTCATTTTAAGAAGCCTTATTTGCTTTTATTGCTTTTGAGGACTAGTTACAAAAATAATGTTTTAAATTAGTTCAAATATTTTATAAGCCATTGACACAATGGTGATACTATATTGCTTATATTGCCAAGTTAGCATTTACAATTATGAAGAAATATTATTTTCTAAAAATTAATCTTCAATATTTCAAACTTTTTATTTCAATTACAGATGCAAATGTCAAGATGCTTTCAACAAGGATTTTAAATTTTCTAACAAGTCTCAAAATGGAAGCTTGAAATTTTCCTGTTATTCTCAACAAAGATTTTAAAATCTAACAAGTCTCAAAATGGAAGCTGCTTGTTCCTTTATGTTTTCCTGTTATTTTCCGGTTAGACTAGAATTTTGTTGGCACATAGTTTATTTACTTTCAAATACTGGTACACTGATCAAATTGTAAATTAAATTTTTTATAAATTTGAATTCTGGTTGAATATGTGTAGTATATTCCAGTTTTAATGTGATTTTAGTCACTTAAAAATACCAAATTAAAATTAACTGAAAAAAAATATGCTTGATGAAAGGTTTGTTATTTTATATATTTTAACATTGTTTTGTAACTAAAATTAATTTTTATTCAATTTTGTTAATGATTTTTTTTATAAAAAGTAATTTGTTGAAATTCTATATTTTCTTATACTTATATATACATTAGATCCTAAATGAAAAATTAGCTTTTATTCATACAGATAAACAATAATAAAATGATTAAATATTTCTGTGTTATTTTTATTTTTCTAAAATAATGTTTCATCAAAATTCAACTTTTATTTTTTAATTCAAGTATTCTTTCCAATATATTCGTATCCCTACTAAATAATTTCTGTTGATCTCATTTCATTACATTAATTTTTCTGTTACTTAATTATTGCCCAGAAGAGAAGATCTTAAAGATTACTATAGAATAATATCACCCAGCATATCCATTTTGTGTAAGGGAAACTTACCTCATTTGGTTTACTTTGAATAAGAAATTGTTGACGAGAAAATATTTAGGTGTGATTTTTTATTTGCCTAGATGACTGAGGTAATATATTCTGTACTACCCAACTGCATGAATTTGTAACAAATGTTAAATGTTTACTGATTTAAGCTGTTATTTTCAATTATTTTTTAAAATCAGTATAGCAGCTTTAATTAAGAAATCTATAACTTAAGCTTAAAGGGAAGTAAAAAACACACACTTGGTAAAAAGTGTCTGAATACTCACTCAGGTACCAAGATACTTATTTGCTCATACTTATATTTACACTTTCAATTAGTTCTGCAGTGACTAGTACTAATCTTCCCGTTATTATTTATGTGCTTAGTGAATTTAAACTATTTGTTTATTAGATAAAAAATCTGAATTATAAAGTTCAAACAATAAAATCAACCAACAACCATTTTTTTGTGATAAAAAAGTGAATTCAGTACAATAAAGTTTTTTATTTACAAACAATGCTATTTTATTTTCTTTATTACAAATGGAGTATGGGATATATGTATACAAGAATACAAAAGTAAATAGCTAACTGAGGACATGAAAAGACCAATACATGTAAGCCTTAACTATACAACTAAAATGTAACTAAAATGGCTAATTCATCATTTTTGGCTGTTGTAAAATACAGACTACAGCTTCAATATTCTAATTATATTTACATCCACAGCATGAACAAACATGTTTTTTTTTTTTAAATTGTGTATGTGTACAACCAAAAATTAATTAAAAAATAAATCCATAAAGTAATAATAATAAAAAATACAACACAACCTTGGAATGATTAGAGAGGTTCAGAAGCACAAACGTTTCAAGTAGTTTGGTAGTTTTTCACAGTTTTTACTTTTAATGGTAAGAGTAAAGGAATAAAAAGAAAAATTTCAAAAACTTCACAACACAATTTTAAAATCTTAATACAAAAAAAGCCTAAAAAATAAAGTAGTAGAAATTCATTATTATTGTTCTTAACTTTAATATAGGGAAAATCTGAACACTGTAATTTCAGCTTTTTATGGTTGAGATGCTTATACTGTTATAATTTTCATAGCTAAAGGCTTATTGTGCCACATTGCAATCAAAAAGATGATTTATAAGCATTACACACATAATCAATGCTCACTTCATATGTGATTAGATGTGTTATGATTTATGAGCATAACATACACATCATCTATGCTAACTTTATATATAATTAGATGATTCTGTGTTATGATTTATAAACATAACATAATCAAGGCTAACATTATATACAGTTAGATGATTCTGTGTTTGCATAATAGTCGTGCTGCACTGTGGATAGACATTAAGAATTAAAGTCACTTTGAGGGAAATAAATCTTGCGACTGGTGCTTCTAAAGATAGCTGTTCCATACTTTTAGACATTCAAATCTTTCTAGGGCACACAGACGCAAGAACTCCTTAATAAAAATTACATTTAAAAAAGCTCCTCGTTTTGTTACATCAAGTGTTTTACAGAAATGACAAAAGGATTGTACTTACAATGCTAAAAATAAAGTGTAAAAAGTATTTTCAGAAATTGTTACATAAAATTTTGGATAAATCATAAAAATAATTAAGCAAGGCTATCAAGAAACATCTTTAAGTTGAGATTTCAATAATTAATTAGCATTTAGATGACATTAGATAACTGGATATAACTTATATCCTCAACCAGTTTTAATCGTAAGATCTTCCACAAATGAATAAAATGTGATGATTTTTAAAAAACTAATTCCTAGAACAGAAATACATTTTTTTATTGAGGTTGAGGTCTACGATTGGCCGCCCGTTGTTTGTCGAATCGAGCTTCCATTTCATCAAGAACACGAGGTGTGTATCTGACAACTAGTTTGACTGTACCTAAAGATGAACAAGTAATAAAATAATATATGGCTCAGTAATTTATTTTTAAATCAACGGAAAATAGTAGACGTATGAGGCTTACTGCTTTAGGGGTAGGAGGTGTGTGAATAAAATGTGAAATGACGAGATTTTTATAATTTTTGGTGTCTGTAGGAAATTAAATTTTAACTTTTTTGAATATGTTTACTATGACCTACCATGAGCAATTTTAAGCAACTCAACAGCTTTTTCATGATATTCCCCTTCGACAGACTGAAAAAAATAAATTATTTTAATCTCACTCAATTGTAATAAGTAATTTAAAAATATTTGACGAAATATGAAAACTTATAGCAATTAGAAAGAAAGAAAAAATTGAGCATAACTGGACCTTTAACAGTTTTATTTGTGTTCAAACTATTGTAAAAATCTTACCACTCCATTGACTGATAAAAGCTGGTCGCCCCTCTTCAAGCCGCCATGTCTGTCTGCCACACCCCCAGGAATGATACGTGAGATGTATATGGGCGAGTTCTGCTCCTTCCCACCCATAACGTTAAACCCTAGACCCTCTTCTGTTTTAGGTAGTTCAACAACTCTGGGGTGGGCGTGACCCTCACTGGCAGCAAACGCAGCGACAGTTGCCTGAAACAGCACAATAGTTTTTTTAGAAGGTTTGAAGAAAATATCATGGAGCTGTTCTTTGCCACATTGGATTTTGTATTATAACCAGAGTAAGACGTAGTAAGATTAATTGTATAATGTCTAGACTTTAATTCAAATTAAGACTACTAATTTGTGTAGAACACACAACAAAAATGACAAAAACTTAAAGAAAACTTTGCCACAGGATTAAGCATTGCTGAAAATGCTAATGTACTGTAACAATATGCTTTAATTGTAATATAAAAACCAACTGACCTTAGCTGTGGCATTAGCTCTAACGTCAGCACTACCACTTATGTCCACAGTTTCATACACATTTTCATACACTTCCCGCACAGCGTGAAGGAAGTCACTCTGTAAAACTCTTTGCAGTGCTTGAAGCTTAGCAGCAGGGAACTCTCCAGCTACACAGAGTTTGAAAAAAAAAAAGAAGCAAGCTTATAAAATATTTCTAAAAAGCAATGAAGCTGCCTCACAAAGGCAGGTTTACAAAATTATAATTACAAATTCAGTATTTAAAATAACATCATTTCATCCCCAAATTTTTGCTGACTTAAATACTGAAAACTTTGTTAAAAGAATTCAGTCGGAGTGTAAAATGTGAGTCTTTTATTGATTCTTTAAATTTAAGCCTTAATAATATATTCACTTTCATAAAAATTAAACTTAATTTGGTATTAAAAAAATAGTTTAATTTTAAACTAGAAACCAAAGTGAAAGGAAAAACAATATAAGGAACTTACTTCTCTGGAGTAAATCTAACAGTTCAATTGCACGATTGATATCTGTGAAAAATAGTTGACAGAATAAATAAATGAAGACCAAAACAGTGTCCCAAATAAAAATGCTATAATAAATTTTAATGGGAGTGCACTCTAAAAAAAAGAGATTCATTGCATGCTTGCATAGTTAGTACTAGTAGCAGAATGTACTTGCAACATCAATTAAACTGCTTTTTTCAAACCTTACTGACTTAATGTAGAAGGATGTACATTGTGGCAAACATTGTTACAAACATTAAAATATACAAACAAAACATGTACGGTCTAATTAGGTGTCATTCCCTGTCACAATTAATCCAGAAAGACCAATGTGTATTTTGTTGCATACACATACAGGCTAAAAAGTTTTTAAATTAAATAGGCCTATATGTTAGTATTTAATAACCAAGAGTTTTTCTTATTAAACTTAATTTTAAGAAAGAAGACATAACAATTCTTATAATTTCAAACAAATTATAAAAATGTGCACATAGGAGGTCCTGTACAACACTCCTCTCCATCCCACCCCATTACCAATCAGAATCACAGAGCAGCCTCTATCATTTATTTCATATTTTGTAATATAATGCTTTCACTTTAATTATACTATAATGAACTACACAATAATACAATACAAATAATAGGCATTGGGGTGGGAATAATACTCCCAGTTGATTGAGAATATTCTGTATACCTTTCCCAAACCCAGACCACTTTTCAGACTGATCATTTCTAATAGGAGAATGGTCAGGTAAAGTCTGACATTATAAATACAATCAGAGAGAATTTTTGTACGAAGTGACTAAGCGTCTCGCAAAGCCTGGCCCCTAAAGAATATACTACGCGTCTCGCAGGTTTGATTTGCCATCTTGTAATTGAAATGCTTATTTTTAACTTTCTATCACATCCGCTGTGGTTGAGTCAACAGTGTGCCGTCTGAAGTTTATAGACCCGGAGTCCAGAGTTCGAACCCGGGGTTAGCTCGGCCGGTACTAGTTTTTTTTTTTTACATTTTTTTTTCATATTGAAAATATGACGTAGACTATGATTCTTTTTTTTAAAATAAAATCTCCAAACATCGTCACTGTCGTGATTGCTGTCTTGCCTAACGTTTACTATCGCATGAGTGGAAAATCCCACCACGGCCCACGGTCGGCGGGGTCACTGTGTTCAGCAGGCCTAAAGCATACGTCATAGACGTTCAAACGAGATCGTCTGTCTTCACTTCTCTCTTCCTCCCACCCCCTTCCCCCTCAAGCAAATTGAATTTTTGTTCACGTAGGATAAATATTATAAAGATTATTATAAAGATTAAGCGTAACGCGGAGCGAACTGCGCAAAGGCGGCCTTACGCGTAACGCAGAGCGAATGCGCAAATGCGACCATTTTTGTAATGCAGATATATAGATCTAGCTTGAATGCCTCCTACAACCAGATAGATCTAGCTTTTAGGTTGGAATTACCAATGTGTTGTCTGGAATGAAAATTATGTATTATGTAGGCCTATAGTATAGCCTAATGAAAATGGGTGTGTTAGATTAAGGTTGTTAGTGAAATGCTGTTAGTGGTATTGGGTTGGGTCACCATCAGGTTGTTAAGATTCCATTAATTAAATATGGCATCATTGGACACTCAACTGGTATAGCACATATCATAGGTCCAAATTTACTAATGACAATGAAAATTTAATGTTAGGCCACTTTGGGTTTTTACATTTTTAGGAATTATCATTAGGGCCTAATTTTTCTTTTAAAAATCTAAATAGTAAATTTGTCTGCTAGTCAACAACTAAGATCTACAGAAAAACAGTGATTTAGTAAGATAGCTGGATCATTGTGACTTGGACGATTACAATGAGAAGAGAAAAATAACTGAGTCAGTGGAGTGAGTCTGTCAGTCAAGTCAATGTCACTATCGATTCGTGGTAACGTATGTAGTATTACTATGTATCGTTGTTTTCACTGAGTAATTTGAGTAATAATAGAATCTATCTTAGTATCTACTAGATCTCTATCTTATCTATTAGATCTAGTCTAGAATCTATCTAGATCTAGATTCTATCTAGATTTCTAGTTCTAGATCTAGTGTCAGTGTTGTCGGGTTGAGGACGTTGTCGTTGTGTACCGTCATGTAAATGTCGGGTGTGGGGAAATTGCGAGACGCGAAAAGCGAAATGGCGAGGCGGGAAAATGCGAGAAGGGCGCGAAAACGGTCGGTCACGTGACTTTTTTGTCTCGCATTTTACCACAAGGCGATACTTACGCTGGGTGGTGTTTTCAGTGGTATTTGGTCCAGACTTCAAAGACGTTTCGTTTACATTGTTAAAACTTACGATTTTTCCGTCGCTAGACATACTGATGATTTGTCAACTCCCCCCATCTTTTGTGTCGACTTAGAATACCACCTTGTTCGAAACCGACGGAAATACCGCCGACGATAGATCAACTTCTGTCTTTTGTGTGGAACGCCGAGGCCGCCTGATTTACCGTCTTTGAAGATCGCCGTGCCCGGATCCGCTGCCGCCGCAAACATATTTTCTATTGTTGCATAGAAATTTTGTATTATAGCCGCCGCCTACGATTTTTTTCTAGCTTTTTTACCATATAAATCTAAGCACAAGGAAATGCCTACATCATTTGGATACAACTATTCTGGAGGTTTTGGTGGTGGTGTTATTTGGGGTCTTCCATAAATGACTTTTTGCAAGTACAAAAATCCATAAATAGATGTTGCAAAATATCTCACCTGCTGACAAGATTATACCAATTCACAATGACACAGCTCACGTTTGTATAAACATGAGCAGAGTTTCTTCCAGAGTTTCTTCGAAAAAATTTTACCGCCCCCCCCCCGAACGAAATGAAATCTATACAATTTATATAGAAAATATATACTTTTAACAGTGTCCGCCCCCCCCCCCCCCCCGAAGAAAGTCTACCGCCCCCCGGAGAAAAAAGTCTGGAAGAAATACTGAACATGAGCGGGCTAGATTTTTAAATTAATGCCGACTGAGACGGGATTTTCCTCTCGCTAACAAGAGCGGGCGATGACAGTAGCACAGCAACGATGTTAGGATTTTTAAATAGATAGATCTAGATCAGTGGCGTAGCGAGGTCGGGTGTCACCCGGTGCGGCACTTAATGGTGTCACCCCCCCCCCCCCCAAAGGCATAGAGACCCTTCCCAGGGACAAACTTTCAAATTTTCGATTTGCACCCCCCCCTCAAACTTTCGATTTGCACCCCCCCCCCTCGAGTTTTCGACTTGCACCCCCCCCTCAAACTTTCGATTTGCACCCCCCCCCCCCTCGAGTTTTCGATTTGCACCCCCCCCCCCCCCTCAAACTTTCGATTTGCACCCCCCCTCGAGTTTTTCTCTATATATTTTCCTATTTTTTGCCTTGGTGTCACCCCCCTAAATGGTGTCACCCGGTGCGGTCCGCACCCCCCGCCCCCCCCCTCGCTACGCCCCTGATCTAGATATAGATCTATCTATCTTCTTAGTATCTAGATAAAAAAATAAAAACATACAACACTCGTGTTAAAGGGTATGGCTAAATGCTTGTTTATTTAAAAAAAAAAATTAAATAAATAAAGATGGAAAAAAAAGAAAAAAACTTTTTTCGCAAAAAGTGTCTCGCTATTTACCCTTAATTCCGCAGGTATGTCTCGCATTACCTTCTCGCATTTTCCCGCCTCGCCATTTCGCTTTTCGCGTCTCGCAATTTCCCCACACCCGTAAATGTCAGCCCCCAAATGACAAGTTCTACATTGAACTAGCCGGCATCCGAGATACAACTGGATCTTATACTAACAACATTTAGTATAGCACTAATGAAACACAAATAAGAGTAGTGAAAGTGGTAAATCCGTACCTTTTTCAAGAGTAAGGGGTTCGGATAAAGCTGCCATCTTGTTGGTTTTCGTATGCTTGTTTTTCTGCAGTATTTCCGGGTTCTAGAATAACTACAGTAGTTTCCCTTGCATTAAATTTAGGCCTAACAGGCCAGATTTTGGAAACAAGTTCATCTAAAATATGGATTCATAAATTTTACTGTATAACGAGGACTGGATTCATTTTGGTTTTCTTTACGTAATGTTAACTTTGCCTTCTGTTATAAAATTAACATGCTTTCGTAAACTTTGTAATGCTTATTTTATTTTTTGTAATTTGTGTTATAAACTAACTGGAATGTAAGTGAAATGTTTTCCAACATTTTATTTTACAATTTTTAGTCAGTTTTAGTGTTTTTCCACACATTTTAAATTGCAGGTGACATCTTACTAACTGGAGTATAATAATTATAATAACTGTTTTCTTTAAATATAAAGAAGTAGGCTAACAATATTAGTGAAGAACATAAAATTTAAAAAAAAAAAATAAGAAAACAACACAGATTATAGGTATTGTTTTTTTTTTAATAAATACAATATGTTACACTTGGTTGAACAACACAACAATCACAGTTCAACTTAAAAAATGAGAAACTATATTTTTCTTTTATGTGAAAGCTATTCAAGAGTTGCTATATAACCCAGTTCTATCAGTTTTAAGTTGTGCCACATATGAGGCTAGATTACGAGAAATACAAGTACTGAATTAAGGCCACCAAAAATGGTACATATACTTGTGTTTGCAAAGCAACACCCTCACCAGGAAAAAAAGCAAGGGATAAAATAAAAAAATAGATCTAAATACTGAAAATTACGGGCTCTTTATGAATGTACCATGTTACAAGATACTGTATATCTGAAGTTATTTAAATAATTTGCAATGCTTTGAAATATTTCAAACTAAAAAAAAAAAACTATAAAAATACAAGTCACAACTGAGTAAACAGAAGCCAGAGTATAGAACCAATATACATTTGCTGTGACTCTTGCCCGAGTGAACAAGCAATTGCACAGAGAAGAACAGATGAGAAGCAGGGTTCAAACAAGCAGGGTGCTCAATGTCACATGTTCTACATAGCTGTGTTAACAGTGCTGCTATGTATATGGAGTTTGGTAACAACAATCTAGGGATAATCATCAGCAACAAGTTATCTATGACTAGTTTTTTAATGCATCTAAGCAAGTCTTAATTTTCAACTTTTAGATTTTAAAATTAACTTAAAATTAAATTTAAAATTCTTTTGCTTTTTTTTTTTCAATTTTTTTGTTAAAAAATTAAAGAAGCTAGCTACGGAAATTCTCACTTCATTAGTTCAAATTTTTGATTTTTAAAGAAAAATGGCTTTCTAATGGTAAACTAGACTTATAACTCAGCAAATCAACAACTACAAGAAACCCCTCATTGTTTTTGTTTTCAAAATTGGCTAACTTATATTTACTTGTACAATCAAAATCAAGTTAGAAATTAAAGTAATGCCAAGTTAATCATTAGGATTAACTGTTTGCACTTGGTGCACAAATTAGGGTTAGCCTGTAGTGTTAATGACCATCTGAGCAACAAAAGCATGCAACTGGAACATTCCATTCTTGAGTCATCTAATATTTTGTTTATGCATGAAAAAAAGTATCAAACTAATGAAAAATGTGAATCGTACATTTCCCAGTATTTTTAAGGAAAAAAACATGTTATAAAATTGAATACTTTTGTACAGTGATACATTAGAATCAAATATTTTTTACAATAGTGATATTATTTAAAAACCTGAATGAAACAAAGTCTAAATGTTGAAAAAAAAAGATAAAAACACTGACCATGTGGCTGTCTCATTATTACACTTAATGTTAACAAGATTTCTGTGGTCAAAAATCATATATGCAGAAACTATTTTTTGTTATAAAAAAATCGATTCCCATCCCCATTAAAATGTTAGCGACTACTAAACCAAAATCTAAAAAGAAATTAAACAGATTTACTGTATCCCAATATTGCACTATAGAAAAACTCTTGAAGGCACCTCGGTCTGAATCTTGATCCCATTGAGTGTAATATTAATGAGACTTAGCAAAGCCATGAATACATGACTTAAAATAAATACAGACATCCGAGGTAAAACCACCACCACCATTAAGCAAGTCACATTCTCTTCTCACACATTCAAACATATTTGGCTGTTTTTAAATGGTGCACTTAAACTTTGCAAGTCTTTCAAAGCAAACTCACATAATCATATCCTATTTAACACATCCATTCATCTAACAAAGTTCAATCTCTCAATATTTCTTTTAACACTTCTCTTTTATAAAGATTCTTCCAATGAGAAAGAATAATAATCTATATCCAAAGTTTACAGACATGCTCAAATTGTTGATGGTCTATTTACATAAATGATGGTTCTTAAGCAATAATTACATGAGTTGTATTTTTTTGTATCAACAAATTTAGCTTAAATTCAATGAAAATAAAGCCAATTAGTCTTGATTAAAAATGAAATGCCTTAAAAATATACCTGAAAAAAAATTCAAATAGAAATTTAACTTAGCCAATATTTTAAGAAAATCAGACTAAACAGAGAATTCTAATATTTTTCCTGCAAACTTGTCTGTTAAGTTTCTTAACTAATTTAAATGAACTTATTCTAAACAAAAATTATTTATTGTGCAATCAAGTTAAAACTAAGATTCGGATGGTCATATTATATTTTATGAAACACCCACATTTGTTTCATAATGCACAGTTTAAGAGATAACCATAAACGAAAGTATTGAATGAAATATAAAAACTGCTAAAGTGCAAGCAAATCGCTTAATTTTAAATTTTACAGTGTTACTGAGATTTAAATAATAGGTTGTTAAATTAGATCCCATTTCTTCATGTTAATCTTCTTGGTAAAATGTATATACTATAGACCCAGAAGAACAAAATGTCAACAAGAAATTATTTTAAAATTTACTAGCTTAAAAAATAACTGGTGATAAGTTGTTTTTTCTACTTGGGCTAGGAAATGTGTTTTTATTTAGATGTATGGCATAAACAATATTTAGAGTGTTTATTAAAAAAATCCAACTACAGCTTATACACTGATGCAGGTTATTAATAAAGATCCTTAAGCAGCATGCTGGTTATAACTATACCCAGTCTGTTAAACATGGCTAACACATTCAATATTGCTCGCTCCATAACAAGAAAAACTTTTTCTAATCTAAAAGTGGGTTATAACAAAGATAAGCTCAAAACTAGAACAGGTGAAATAAATAATATTGGTCTTATGATAAAAACAGCCATTCAGACATCAGATTTTAAAAATTAAAACTGGAGAGGAAAAAACGTGCTCTCAAAAAACATGTTATTTTATAAAATGATTTGGGTAAATTTTTTATACAATAGATCAGCACCAAATTTCTTGAAAACAGAGTGATTTGTAACTGCACTAGTAATCTTTTTTAAAAGCATTTTCTTATTTCCATTTCTTTTTAGATCAAGGATTTCCAAAAGTTCTAGCTAACAAAACTTTCTGAAGTCTCTTAACTCAAGTTATGTTTTACTAGTTCCTTTATGTACAAGTAAGCAAACTGAACAACAAAACATCAGCTTAAATTTAAGCTAAAAACATAATCACATTTTAAAACATTTGCTGAAAGATGACAAAAACAATTGTTTTCTTTCTCTAAAATAACTAGTATGGTCTGAAAAGCAAAATAAAGGTTGAATCAATTTGATTGCTATACTCTATCAGAATCAAGGAGTAGCTGCTACACAATTTACATAAACATAAATATTAAAGGTAGCCTTTGATACTTTAATCACATACCATCATACTGATTTTAGTCGAAGGGAAATTTTTGTTATACTTAGAAACAAATCAATGAGCCATTATCTGATGTTGACCAAACTCTACAGGTAGAAGCAATATGACAAGGTGAATATGACAAGAGAATGATGAGTCAATTTTAGAGCTACATTCTGGAGCTAAAAACAGGTAACAAAGGCAAGAGATTTCCACGGGCAGATCTTTCTACCTGTCACAGATGGTAATAGTGACATTGATGCCCAAATTCCCGTGATCTGCAAAGAGCTGTGCAATGTTTGTGTCAAACACCAGACAATCACTGCTTGCAATGGCGGACTGTATGCCATCATGAATACTACGGGGGGCAGCTTCCCATGTCAGTCTTCGCCTGTGGCCATTAAGTTCTAACCTGCAACATAAAGATAAATATGACTTTACTACCAACGACTTTTTTTTAAATTTCAAATTTAATACTTAGAGTGAGTACATATATATGGTTGTATTTATGTATGTGTGTTTAAAACTTGTGTAAATTAACACTTAAATTAACACTTTATATATTATATTATATTATATCATATCATATCATATCATATCATATATATATATATATATATATATATATATATATATATATATATATATACATATATATATATATATATACACATATATATATATATACACACACTGGAAATTGGTAGACACAAAACTTAGAAGGCTAAAACATTTCTTCGTTTAAAGTTTTTAAAAATTTCATGTCGAACCATATATATAAAATACTTAAAAATCTGATGGGACCACATTATTAGCTTGTCCAAACAGATGTTACACGTAAACAGAAATTCCACTGTTATTTATTTTAAAAATTTACAAATACAAGGTTCATGAACCCAAGTTAAAAAAAAAATTCAGCACTTAACCCAGGAACTTTTATAAGAAACTAAATTTCAGGACCTTTCAATTTTTAAAAACCATTTTTACTATTGGGCTACACTGGTTTTAAAGTGACTCTTGAAATTCAATCGCTCCAAAACAATAATGAAAGTAAAAGTCTTAGAACTGTTGCAAAGTTACAGGAAGATGTTATCTTTGAACAACATTATGTCTGAAAATAATTATATCTATGATTGAGTATTTAGATATGTGCACTTGATATTTAAAATTGTCTTAGTATTATTTTTAATTTTCTTCTGACCACACAATGAAAGAACCCTATTAATTATATGTAGAACTGAATAACTTATAATATCTGTGATACTGGTTCAATATTATGAAATAGACTACTCATTCTGTTAACCATGGTACAATTTAGATTTTTAAAATCCTAATTTTTAAATTAATTTAATTCCTGATCTGATTATCTTTATTTTAAAATTTCAAAAATATACTTTACAAAGAACAAAAATAAATAACACAAAATTGACAGCACAATTCATAGTTAATAAAATACTTCATTTAAAAATTGCAGTAATTTTAAAACAACAACCAAATAAACTTCATTAATACACAAATACTCTTAGTCATCAAAGAGCCTAAATATTACCTGTAAATAAAGTTTTCAGCTTGTTTTCTGGTACCTATGAGTTGGACAATAGCATAGAACATTTGAAGGCCATCTATCTTCTCCTGTTTTTCAAGAACTAACATAAAATTGTGACCAAAACAAGATTGCATCATAACCCAGTCTACAGCTCCAGGAAGATTGATATCTGTTGCCAGAAAGACTATATCTTCACCTTAAATGAAAAAAGTATAGACATTTTTTAAATCTCATAATTAAGAAATATGGTGCAAATTAAGTAATTAAATGAGTTGACACTTATTGCTTACAGCATTAGTCAATAAGATAATGTCTAATTATACTAAGAACAGATATACATCTTAATCTGTAAATAAAAAAGAAACAAAGAGCCATCCAAAAAATTGAAACATACAGAAAAATAATAAAACCTTATCTGACAGAAGTCACTTAAAACCACAGGAGCTAATGAAGGAGTGTTTGTTAACTAAGTCTAAGTAATATATTTGTTAAATGTGATTTTCATGAAGTTAATAGTAATAAAATACACTTAATAGTACACATTTTTATTGTACTAATGTACTATTATCCTGGTGAGGTATTTAAAAAATAGATAAACATGAAATAAACTTTGATTTTTACCTTGTAATGTGGTGATGCTCTTATGTGATTGCATGAGATGGGGCATGACCTGTTCTAATGAACCCTGCCACTTGCAAGATGCTCCAGGACATGGACAGGTGTATGGTCTAAAAATCATTACAGATAAAGTAAGTATTAAAAAACATAGATATTAACAGCTAAGCTAAATGTATATTAAATTTCAAGGAAAGTTAGCGATTAAAAGGCACTACCTGTGTTCACAAGTGTCTTCATGTTCACTTTTTTCTGTGTGTAGCAATGTTGACTGGCACCCATTATTTGAGTAGCGACATGGGAACAAGACAGATGCTGCTACTTTTTCCATTGCCAAATTGCGAATATTACCTACAAAGTTAATAAAAGCCTATGTTAACTGCAGTAAACTTAGCTAAGCTCAAATAAAATAACTACATCATGGATCAAATTTTGGATCAAATTTTAGAAGATAAAAAGATGCAATCTCTAGGTAAAAAAGAAGTTACTTGTCAAGAGGCACTTTTGCTAAAAGCTATAAAGAATGTTTTAAATTATTTATAATTTCCTCAGCTCTCTTACCTAATGGACCTCTACATGTTGGACACATGGTCAACTTTTGCCGACATGACTGACATACTATGTGACCACTCTGGCACTGCATGATGGGAGGTAATGCATAATCAAAGCACACTGGGCACTCAAAGTAACTAGCAAGGTCAGAGTTACCATTATTTGGGCCTGCCCCTGGAATATATTATATGATAATTATAAATAAAACAATTAAAATAAAAAAAAAACTGAATCGAAGCAGTGATTTAGCTCGAGTTATTTTTTAAATAAATTACTTACAAACAGGGTCTGATGTCTGCATAGGAAGTGCTGTGTTAGGCATTGCTGGTACTTGAAGAGTCCTCCCCTTAGGCCCTGGTGCCGTCTGTCGACTCATGCTAAATTACACGCTTATTATTTAGTAAGCCACTGAAAAATTGTAATAGAAAATGGTTATTACAGTTGCCCTAGAATTCAGGAAAATAAAAAGACTTGTAAAATATGCAATCCAAGGCATCGGCTGACAAAACTCAAAGTTTGTATGACTTTTCTACAGATCCAATATCTAATCTAAAATCTAGATCTTCTAGACTAGAGATAGATCTAGAATCTAGACTAGATCTAGCTATAAATCTAGATCTAGATCACTTTTACTTTTAGAAACAAGATCTAGAATCTAGTCTAGATCTAGATCTGGAATCTAGATTTACTAGATCTAGATTAGAATTTCTAGATTCTAAAATAAAAATAAATAAAAATAAATTCTTAATTCTAGCCTACTGGTAACTCTACTGCTTATTTATTGCAACACTGTTGCCAACGGTTTATCTACATCTAGATATATATTTCTACTAGAATCTAGTTACTCTAGAGATCTTACTAACAGACCTACAATTAAAATAAAGAAAAAAAGATAAACAAGAAATAAACTCGTTAATGTTACACACACTGACTCGTTTCATGAAAAAAAGTGTTGGACTAGTCTGCCTAAACAGAAGATATTTTCAAAATACATTAACAGTATCGCTTGTAGTGTAATTAATGTTATTTTGGATGCTAAACATCACTACAAATTAGCCATTTGAAAGAATGTAAGACCTTACACTTTTAATTTCTTTCATTCAAACACATCAATGTAAATCTGCTTCAAAGATCTCTAGTTCTACGACCCTTAAACAACACTTGCTTCCTACGTCATTTTAGTAGAAGCGGAAGCTCCCTCTATCGCTGACCTTTGGTGATTATAAAAATGTATGAAACATTATTTAGGCCTAGTTTACAATAGAAATAGACTTCCAAAGATAGAATCTTTACCGCGTCTTGTATCATTCAGTTTTCCATCATTTAGACCTTAGGCCTAATCATTAATTATATATATAAGTGGCAAAAATAAATTTTTGTAAAGATTAATACTATAGTTGAAACGCATTTGTTGTTTCGAAACAAATACAATTTATTATAGATCTAGATCTAGATCTACATCTAAAGTATTGTAAAGCAATGAGAATGAGATCCGCTGCGCTGCCTTTTATTTTTATTTTTGGATATAAAATTAATTAAACAAACAAAAATATTTAAAATCTAGGCTGGATTATATTAAAATGTTTGTATATGTGCCTAAAATACACACATACATTTTTGTTAACAAAAAATAAATAACAAATTGTTACTCGGGGTTGTTGCCTTCAATAAAACAACATCGAAGAAAAACAAAGTATACAAATTATAAAACCTATCGTACATGAACTGGTCTTCATAATATTAGATGAAAGAGGTGTAAATAGATAGAGAAGCGTTACTGAGGATTACAAAAAGAACTATTTCAATAATAATTTGGTGCAATCAGATTACTTTATAACCTATTTAGCCTAGGACTAGATAAATGAAATAACGGGGGGAGGGGGGGGGGGGGGGGTGGGGGGCGCTGAACGGAAAAAAGTCACAGGAAAAAAACAGAAAAAAAGTCACAGTTTTCGCTAAGAAAAAAAGTCACAGAAAAAAAGCCACAGTGGAAAAATTTTATCGGAAAAAAAGTCACAGAAAAAAAGTTACAAAAATCTTTTTAGAATTATATTTTAATTTATTTGTTAAGAATTGTAAAATTGTGTATGTTTATTGTTGTGGGTTGTATTTTTTGAAAGCATAAACTATTTATAGACGTTAAAAGCATTATGGTTTATAACAATTATTGTAAGTAAAAATACTCTAAGATGATTTACACAACAATCTCAACTTTTGTTACGAATTTAGTTAAATACGCGGTAGAAAAGTTAATTATAAAAGAGATTTAGGCACATCGTGTTTTGCTTATGTTTTACCGTAGACTATTCTCTGGTCGGCCTCTCCTCAGTAGGTATAGTCCGAAAATATCTTGCTTTGTTGACGTTTTGAGTCAATGATAGCCTTTGAGACCTTGTCGGCTTTCTTTTTTTTATCCTAAGTTTTGTTATGTAATGAGCGTGCTAAATGTGGGCGGTAAACTAAACATAACTATTGTTGCGATGAGTTGAGGGCAGCAAGTCAGATGAACTTACCATTTCACGGTAATTTAATGTTGATATTAAAAAAAAAAAACACGATGAACACCGTGGACTTTGGGGCATTCTATTAAATGCTATTAATCTTATGTTTAACATAATTACAATCTACATTCTGCATACTAAATAGTTTTAGATGAATTTAAAAAATTACCATGCGTATACAACCTACACACATTACATTTAATTAATCCTAAGTTAATTTGCACTCTCTAAATATAACAAATTTCATGCAAATATAAATGTGTGACTTTTTTCCTGTGACTTTTTTTCCCTGTTTTTTCCCTGTGACTTTTCCCCCTACAATCGGGTGGGGGGGGGGGTCTAATAAAATTAAAATCTCAACCTCATCCAAATAAATAATACTTTCGAAATACAGTGTCCACATACATGCAGTAGCGGGTGAAAGTATTTAGTGTTTTACAACCAAATAAAAAATCTAAATTATTTACTGTCCAAATGATGTCTTAATTTTTTTAAAAGCAGGAAGATAGTGATGACAGCAAGCTGAAACTGCTTAATTCTTAAAGTGACACCACTATACATTCATACATACAAATATAACATACATAGAAAGTCTAGTTAGTAACAATAAACATACAAGCGTAGGCCCATAGAGAATCTATGCCATTTGCAACATTCAAGGTCTACTATACTCGCTCATTGGATATGAATATTAGGCCATTTAGTGATTTACGACAATAGTATTTGACTAATACTAATAGGCTAACAGCAGATTGTAAAAGATTCGGAATTCACAGATCTTTTTAATTGTCTAGGAAGAAATTAATCAAGATCAAATAAACCTGATTTTTTTTAAAAATCGAGCATTAGTAACGGGTTGCACTCTTGTTTTTGGAATATTTGTACCTCTTTCGACCTCAAACAAGGGGACTAACTGTGAGAAAAACATATTGTAAACAGTCATCCGCAATCAGCGTAAAGATCCACTGAAGAGACGAAAGAAGGCAAAATACGACTTAATAAAAACCCAGTGTAATTTTAAATAGAAATCTAGAACTTTTTTATTAATTTCAAGGTTCAAATTTGTTTTCTAATTAGATACTTCTCTGTACTAGATCTACTGTGTAGGTTTGTCGTAGATTTTTTTTAAATTGAATGAAAATGAGAAAGTTATGAAGTTGATTGATGAGTTTGTTGAACTTGATAACTTGATTGATTGTGTCATGTCATTGTGTTTACAGTTTACAGTGTTTTTTTTAATGTTTAGATCTAGATTTCTATCTAGATCTACTTTTGTTTTTGTGAGGCTTTGAACTTTGAGGTATTCTTAATCTTATCTAGATCTAGATTCTACTTACTACTACTTTAGTTTTAGGGTTCTGTAGTCTGTACAGTTAAATTTTGGATCTTACTTCTTGAAATATGTAGAGGGGTTGGAAGCAGGGGTTGTAACTGAAATATAGAAATATTAACAGAAAGTGATATTTCAACGCCAGGGGTAGACAAAGGTACAAAAAATAGTCCAAGTAAAGACAAGCAGTCAGAAACCAACTGGATCTGAACCTACCATTCCACACGGTACCTATTCACCTTCGCCTTCCATGCATCAAGTCAGATGTGTAACCGCTTCTGCCAATCAGCCCTGATGCCAGGGATGGTGTGGCCTAGTTGTATAGAACTAGACTCCGAATCCGGGTTCAAATCAGTGGAATGTCCCTGGGTCGACCCAACTCTGATGGGTACCTAACTTACATTAAGGAAACAAAGGTGGCTGGGCATTGTGCTGACCACATTATCCCTTCATATGCTGAGGCCAATGAATCAGATAAACTCTATTTCATCTGCCCCATGTGTCTTGGGCACCAATCGGGATTAACTCAATCCGTCCCATGAGCCGCGAGATGCGGCTTGAGCCAGCTTCACCGTAGGCCCGCGAGCCGCAAGGTGCGGCTCGACACCGCAAGTGTTTGTTTCTTTAACATGTCATTTAACATGTAAAAAACCTACATTTCTTAACATAACTCACAATTATCTTCATATACTACTAGAGAAATTTAATTTCTATTCATTTTGATGTATAATACATAAATCTGGTTAAAAAACATAGGAGCTATAAATGTTTAAGTAGGTGAGGGATGTGTAAAAAAAATTGGGTCACGGAAATAATGAGGTCAGGAGATGGAAACGGCTCTGGTATAGAAAGAGTTAAGAAGAAGAAGAGAAGATATGTATTAGATTAAAGTGAAAAAAAGTAAATATTTTTTAAAGCCTATGCTCTGTCCGTATGCTGTCAATAGTCATAAATTGTCTGAGACAAAGGGGTCGGCGTGGTCGAGTCGGTAAAGCTCATGTTTGCTAAACCGAAAAGTCTCGAGTTCGAACCCTCGGGCAGATGAGGTGGTTAGCTGGGGACAGCCACTCTTCTAGGAGAGACAACTCCAAAATCAAACAACTGCTGCCTTGTAGTTTGTTCTTGGTTGGACAAAGGCTATGGAAGCAAATCCAAAAAGAAAAGCAGGCTGAAATCGGAGTCAGTGGCCTCAATGGCGCATAACCAGTTGACACGAATTCCTTAATTGTGATGGAAGCATGGTCAAGTCAGCAAAAGCTTATGGTTGATAAATTCGAAAAAAAAAGTCTCGAGTTTAAACCCTCTGGCAGATACTGCTCGATCCCTCCCAACACTAAAATTAAGAACGAAGAAGAAGAAGTCTGAGACAAGCACAATAAATAGATATTCATCCACCTCCTACAAACATGCACATTCACCAAAATTGATTTCTGTTAGACTCCTCACATGCGGACATGGTAAATGGATGACATAGACACACAACAAATATCTTTTGGACTCTGTTCCAAACAAAAATTCATTCATGTACTTGTGTTTTCAGGCTGTAACATCAAGACACCCAGAACTAAATTATTTACCTGATCAGTCTTGACCAAGGAAATGTCCAATCCAGCTTTAAAGTCTAAGGTTAAACAGCTGTATAAAACGGTATGTTTTATTTTATATGGTGGAGGATGGGATTTAAATTTTAAATAATAGGCAATTAGAGATAGTAATATATTTACAAGGTACATCACCATTCTTTAAAATTTAAGAATCTACAGGCATGTTTATGGAGGGCATTTTTCCGTTAATTTATATTTTTCCAGGCACACATACCTTCTTCAAATGCACAAATATGTATGAAAATGTCAATTTACAGTTAAAACGATAAGGTTAATAAGATGTTAATGTATAATAATAAAAAATTATAAAAAATAAAATGAAAAATAAAATGAAAAATCAAGCTGAGTACGGTGCTCCACCCCCTAAATGAATCAATTTGAGAGAAGACCTTAAAATAGTATATTTTGGCATTGTATTATTAGTTTGCCAGAAGAAAAAAAAAAGTAACATTTTAAAAAGATTTTTGCATGTTTTCTGTAATATAGATCAAACTAGTAGCTTTAATTTTGAAGCTGACTATTCTCAAACCTCCGTAACATTTCCTTTTAGTATTTGGAGGGGTTGCTTTATTGACTCATGTCTTTTTTTTCATCAGTTCATTTCAATTTATGCTGATATTCCCTTTCACTTTCATATGACCATATTATTTTAACAACTTATTAAATATTTTCACAGATTTCTAAATCCCTCTGCTAATTAAAGATATTATCTGTTTAATGTTTTAATTTAATAATAAAGAAACAATATGTATTGTATAACTCATACAGTCATACAGTTTCATTATTCTTTAAAATAGTTTTAACATTTATGAAACAAACATCATTAATCTACTCATGTAAAAAAAATTTGAAAAGAGTAATAATATTTAGATTCATTTTTTTGCCACTGACAGCTACTTCATTTGGGTAAAGATTACCCCAAAGGAGCTGAATATTTCCGTACCCGACTTCATGCTGCCTTCATGAAAAACAAAAACTTGACTGATGAAAAAGAAATAGAGCTTTGGATTGCCAAGGGGGAGTATGTAGTCAAAGAGCTGGAATCATTATACATGCTGCGGAAATACAGGACTTTAAAGAAACGCTACTATGATTCTAAACAAAACTAGTCTAGGAAAAATTTGTTGGCTAACAAACTAATGCTGTTGGATAAAAACTCACAAGTACATTCAGTGGAAGTTTTCCGCTACTCAGGTAAATTTTGCGCATAGTGTAAAGACTGCTGGTTGAATTATGCTGTTTGTGATGTTTTTTAAACCTTATTTCTACATGAGAATAATGCAAATGGTATATATCTGAATGGTTGAAACTCAAGTACTGGAAGGAATGGCACTTACTTAGTATTATTATACACAAGACTGTTACAGTTTTATATATTTTGTAACAAGCAGAACTGTTAACATTTCACTCCATCTTCATCAAACCCAAAAAATTTTTTACCTCATCAAATATGTATCCTACCAAAACACCTTCTCTCTCTGCTCTTAATGCGGCTAAATAAAGATGAAGTACTCCTAACAAATACTTGAGAAATTTATTTTTTTATGAGTTTTTGCTCTTAAATTCAGCATGTGTTAATTTGTTTAAAATTTTAATTTTTGTATTTTTACCAGAATTTTTCTTTGTTTTTCTCAATTTCTGTTAATTAGGGTAAGGTGTATTAACTTTTAACTTATTTTAACTTATTTTAAGTCAGTTTAATCTCTCTTTTTGAGGCTTGCCATGCCATGTGTGTAAGGGGGGAAGGGTGTACAACAGGATTTTCTATTTACAACATTTATAATAATATGAAATATTTTAATAAACCAAATAATTAAAACATGCCTTGAACTTGCATTCTGTTTGACTTTTATCTAAACTATCTCGCTGATTTTCCTCCCATCTGATTTGTGCTTTTATCCTTCAAAAAATGTGTCAGTTACTACTGCAGCAAGAAAGATAATGCATTAGAGCTGTAGTTGGTAGAATACTCCAGCAGGACAGATAACTCAGTAGAGCTGTAGTTAGTGGTAGATTGATACCACAACAGGAGTAACACTTGTTAGGGTAAATTTTGATGAAGTTACATACATGTAGTTTTTAAAAATGCCTATAAAGATTTATTATTTTAAGGGCATGGGTGGGTGACTCTGTTAGTGGTAGTACAAGAAGGATCAATGATTATATAGCTGATATATATGTTACTTTATGAAATTTTAGAAATCCACAAAAGGTAGTTTTCTCCAAGATGGCCGCCATTGCCATGGCAACGATATTTTTAGAAGAGTCCCTGATGCTTGCAAATATTTTCCTTAAAGACAAATAAATTAATAAAACGTTTTAATTGAGAAGTTGGTTTTCTCTGGAGCCTAACCCCTTGCCTAAGAGCAGAGTGCTCATATATATATATATATATATATATATATATATATATATATATATATATATATATATATATGTATGTATGTATATCTATTGCATCTATATCGATCGGTATATAGGCTTATATATTCTTTTGGTTATATATATATATATATATATATATATATATAGGCTGGAGACCACCAAAACGAAGTAATCACGGTGATCATATATTAACTATTAATATTATAGTATATAGTGTACCACCCCCCCCCCCCCCCCCCCCCCCCCCCCGTTCCTCCCAATATATCTACCAGTGTTTCCTAGATGTATATAAAATCTGGTAAATCTGTACCCTAGCTGCACGCACAGATTCATCTACAAAAAGTAGCGTTCAATATTGAACTGTTTCACGTTAGGCTACCCAAGTTGTGTTGAGAAGATTTTTTTAAACATAAGGTCATCGATCTATGGCCATACTGTGATGTGTTTACATTGGTGTGTTATCGGTTTTACTACTGAAACCTCATAAGGGCTAAAAATAGAATGCTACTATGCATGTGTAGACCAATGTCTTGCTGGCTAGTTTTAATGGATGGCTCTGATTGATTTAAGACACAGACCTACACTTGCGCCTAACTTATAAATAGCAGGCCTATACTCTATCGGCTATCCTACACATACACTGCGTATCGCCAGAAAGTAGATAAAGAGATGATAAACAAAAAATCAGCACAATGACATCTGTTCCCCGCTTGCCTGTTAGGCTACACGAAATATTACTGATCTACTGGGTCTAACTTGAAATGGGGGCAAGTTATGAAATCATAGATAGTCATTTTACAGCTAGTCGACCGGTTTGGTAAGTGTGTAGTTTCGTGTGTGGTGTGTTGGTTTTACCGGATGCTATCTGTTTCGATCTGTTTTTTTAACTACTTTGTGTCACAGCTACTTTGTGTCATAGCAAAATCACAGCGGTTTGTTTATAATGTGATCTGTATGTACGTTATTAGTATAGATTTGTTATTGTTACGATTGTTTTAATAAATCAGCTTTATTTGGTGGGTTATTTTTCTCGTAAGTTGTTTAGGGCATACATGTGTTTAATAATACTATGTAATAGAAAAAATTATTAATTTTATTATAGGTCCTACTCAGAGGCGTATCCAGGTTTTCGTCGTAGGGGGAGCAAAAAGCAAAAAAAAAAGGCGCCGAACTTTTAACACGTTCTATATACGTGTATTATATATATATATATATATATATATATATATATATATATATATATATATATATATATATATATATATATATATATATATATATAACTGTATGTCATTACTTCGCTATGATGTAAAATAAATTGAAAGTAGCACTCTGAAGAAATAAGAAAAAACACACAATGTAGGCCGACAAAACAAAAATTGTATCAATCTAAACAAAAAAAAATATACACACACTACAACCAAAAACAATGAACGTAACACAATCTGTTTTGTAATTCTTGTAAAAAAAAATCTTCCATAATAATTCCTGGGAAATTATATATGACAAGTGAGATAGGGGAAATAACCACTCTCTTAATATAATTATGTATATATCTACACATTTAATTATAAATGTACATCATTACGCGTTTTTCTACATGTACTTAACAGATCAGTTCGGGGTGGGATGGGGGGGGGGGGATTTAACTTCATTCACCACTGTCCCGTCACCTTAGGTCAATTATCCAACCCAGTGTATACCTAGGTGTGACATTAATGTCACTCTACACAATTGTGGTGGTGAGGTGTGTGGGGGGGGGGGGGGTGAACATAGCGTCAGTTTTTAGATGACTGTTCTAAACATAGATATATATTACACAAATATATATTACAAAAATATATATTACACAAATATATTTAAATAAGTAGCAGTGGTATTATCACAAATTTTTTTTACAGAGGGGTCCATGGGGAGGGGGGTTGTAACTATTTCATATAATTTGTAATCGTAATCACTATCGCCCAAACTGTAAGAATACTACTACTTCATCGTGATGACGTTGTTGACCTTGTCAAAATTTCCACACCACTACGCAGTTTGCTCATAAGTAAATTTAAATAGAGGTGCCACATCAGTTGTATTTGTTTCTGTATTGTAATTTTTTAAAATTATTCACACGATTCAAACTGTATATATAAAGTAATTATGTGTGAAGTTTTATGTATAACATTTTCTATTTCAATTATTCGTAAGCAAATACATTATACAGTTGCCTTAATCTTAACTACCCTATTGCCAAGTGTTACTACCCGTAGAGGTTTTTTAAACACTGCAATGCATCGTTATGGTTATTTCTAGAATGGCAAACTGATGCAGCTGTTAATACGTGTCTACGTTTACAAATGTAGACACTACTAATTAATTGCTTAATTGCTGCATGAAAAGAAATCTTGAGATTTATATAGATGTGCCGACCAAAAATATTTTTTTAACAAATATCATTGTTTAAAACTTTGAGTTTAAAAAGTTTCCAAAAAGGCGCCACTTTGCTGAAAATGGCCAGAGGGGGAGCGGCTGCTCCCCCTGCTCCCCCCTGCGTACGCTACTGGTCCTACTGCTAAAGTTAATTCGAAGAGTTGTAAAAAAAATATACGCTCCTGTGTTTTGTGATAGTTAGAATTGTATTTAATACTCAGTTATTGCCCTTTTCTAGGACTAGATGTTCTGATAATTTTTTTATCATCATAAAATTTCTGGAAAAACCAGACGAACGGTCACTTAAGCTAAATCTCTCGGCTAATTCCGTTTATGCTCGTCTCGCTCTGGATATTATGGGGGGGGGGGGGGGTTAATATTTTTCCAATAAATCGCGACATTGATATTTTACTAATTGTAGGGATATACTCTACTTATGCATTTTTAAGCAAAGGCATTATTTTGCGTTGTAAAATAAAGCGTTGTTTTATTTTCAGTTTCAGTTAATACATTATTATTATTATCAAACAAAATTTTAATATATTATTTTAACTGCTTACATTAGAACATAACTACAGAAATCGAGTTTATCGTACTAGCTCTGCTATCATGAAAACACAGAAAAAAGGATCAAACATATTAGACTAGTAGGGATGCTTTTTCTTCTGTTAAAACTTAAATATGACTTTTAAGCTATGTAAAAACCATTTGCTTGAATTCCTTGTTCAAATAAGTTTTTTAAAACATGCGTGGTTTGTCTAGATTTCTACAGTTGATAAGTTCCGCGAATACTCTCCTGGGTCCTGGTGTAGGTCTACAGTTCTCTATATAGCCGTGGCCCGTAGACCAAGTGGTCCATAAGACGAATGGCCCACGGGCCAAGTAGTCCATAGACCAAGTGGCCCATTATCCAAATTATCCATAGATCAGATGGCCCATAAACCAAGTGGTCAATAGACCAAATGGCCCATAAACTAAACGGCTGTTGAAGCTTCAAGACACTGTGATATCGTATAATAAGCTATAATAGTTGTTATTGGGGTCATATCTGTTGTGTAGTTTTATGTTAACTTATATTTTTATCGTCAACGTATTTTAACAATGTCACAATGACTTTATTATGAAAAAAAAAACATGTTTCGAGTAACGAACGAACGATGAAAAGACAGAATAAAATACTTTAAAAAAACTTTTTAAAAAACCACGTTTTTCTTGTGGACTAAAAAGTAGAAAATAACTATTTACATACATTTGATGACAAAAAACGTGGGTACGTTCACCATCAAATTTCCCGACCCATCTGCCCGACCCACGTTTTTTGTCATCAAATGTATGTAAATAGTTATTTTCTACTTTTTAGTCCACAAGAAAAACGTGGTTTTTTAAAAAGTTTTTTTAAAGTATTTTATTTTCTCCTTTTTAGTCCGTTGCTACACATGAAAAACGTGGTTTTTAAAAAAGTTTTTTATATAGTTTATTTTCTACTTTATCTAATGACTTGATTAAGTATGAATTGACTAAGTGTTTATAAATACACGGACTAAAAAAATCTTGAGCGACCAGGATTCGAACCTGGGTTGTCGCGGCCACAACGCGAAGTACTAACCACTATACGATCACGGCCAGCGCGCTCACATCGATTGGGGCCGAAGTAACTGTGTCAACAAGCCTCCAGTCTTGTCGGTATCTTTAGAAATCATGTCCTCAATTTTATGGTCCTTTGGGCGTAATTAAATTAAGCTAATTACGGTCTCTAATTGCTAGTTTTTATGATTGCATCTGAAATTGTTAGGCGAAAGTAACCTGCATGCCAAATTTCAGATCTATAGAGCAATCAGAAGTGGGCTAATTTTCGATGTCAATTTTAACAACAAACACATCCACGCGAAGCTGAGTTAATAAAAACGTGTTAAAAATTACATCCGTATTTGTTTTCCGTGGCTACACTAGATCTAGGTTTTTTCACGACAGACGAATGAACGGACGTTTTGAATTAACCAGACACTTTTGGTGGGTCCCAGACGCCCAACCATCAGCTGAAAACGTGTGTAGTTTTCCTGACAAAGTTATCAGTATCAAATCTTATCAGGTCGTAGATCTCTTGAGATTCGGTTGGTTGAAATCGTCCTTTAAACGATCATTTATGGTTATACAGAGCTATGGCGTATGCATGATTTAAATATCATCGAGAAAGATAGTAGAAAAAGTTATCATTTATGTAGTAAATATATGCACTATATGTTCACTGCTCTAGACCAATCGTCTTTATTTCGGATGTCATACACAGTAGCGTCAAAAGGCGGGGCGTGGGGGGTGCGGTCCGCATCGAGTAACACCATTTGGAGGGGGGGGGGGGTGTGGTGACACAAAATGGAAAAATCTTTAAATTTATTGGGCAAAACAATATTTTATCCAATAAGAATAATAACACAGAAATGGAGAGGAGTGGACCCAAATCAAAATTCCGAAATTGTTGGAAGGGGGGGGGGGGTGACACACTCAGTTACTGCACTGGGTGACACTCGACCCTGTGACGCCACTTGACATACATACATGTTCTCCGACACTTTAAAAAACCGAAACGATACGACGAGCATCTTGTTAGCATGGATCTGCGATTAGTTATCCGACAGATATGGTATTTTATCGTTAGATAACTTCCTGTGACCCGCAGTTATCCCACTGATATGGTATTTTATCTTTAGATAACTTCCTGTTATCCAACTGATGTGGTATTTTATCTTTAGATAACTTCCTGTGACCCGCAGTTATCCGACTGATATGGTATTTTATATTTAGATAACTTCCTGTGACCCGCAGTTATCCGACTGATATGGTATTTTATCTTTAGATAAATTTCTGTGACCCGCAGTTATACGACTGATATGGTATTTTATCTTTAGATAACTTTCTGTGACCCGCAGTTATCCGACTGATATGGTATTTTATCTTTAGATAACTTCCTGTGACCCGCAGTTATCCGACTGATATGGTATTTTATCTTTAGATAACTCCCTGTGACCCGCAGTTATCCGACTGATATGGTATTTTATCTTTAGATAACTTCCTGTGACCCGCAGTTATCCGACTGATATGGTATTTTATCTTTAGATAACTTCCTGTGACCCGCAGTTATCCGACTGATATGGTATTTTATCTTTAGATAACTTCCTGTGACTCGCAGGACGCCGCAACATGGCGGCTGGCGTTCGAGCAGACGTCTTTGCTGTGACGCAATTTCTGCTGCTCACTGTGACGTTTGTAACTACGTGAGTTAGGTTATTCAATTAATTATTTATTCAAATAATTATTCCCCTTTGATTTTTTTTCTAATTTTAATTCGAATTATTTATTTAAATTTGAAATATATAATTTTTTGCTAAAGCAGACAAATAACTACACATTTATTTACTAGGGAAATTTTATTAAGCGTATACGCTATTCGCTAATCACATTTTAAAAAAAGCATTATAAAAGTCAATATAAAGATGGTGTTAAATTCTTATAAATTTACAAGTAATTGAGCTATTGGGCAAAACAATTTCTAACAAATTAGATTACAAATTTTGTGAGTAATATTTACTGATATGCTGTCTAACGAAGGCATTTATATTTGTATTCATTTCAAAGCGAATTAAAACCTTTCGTCTATTTCAGATATTTTGTATCAACCTCGTTAGACCATGTTCCACAAATCTTCCCCTATATCAGGTAACTGTACCAGATTATATAACCCTAACTACACCATAACCCATATTAATCTCATCTATCTGTTTAATTTTAGTACAAATCAATATATTCCCTGATTTTTCGTTCGTCACACCTTTTTTAAAATGAGTAACTTCCCCTTCCTCATTGTCACAAAAATTGAGGCTCCTCTAAAACACTATGCAAAATGACACGAACTTTGACCCTTCTCCCTTTGTCACACTTCATGAAAAAATACAACCCTCCCCTCCCCACATGTGTGCCTACATTTATAGACAACCTTAGCTATTCGATATTTTTTTTTTCTAATTAAACAATTAACTTATGTAGTTTTAAGTAGTCACAAGTTTAACCATAACATTGCTGTTGTCTCAAGCCTCGAACAGGGTTGGTTTACGGTAACTTTGTGGTTGATTTTGTACGTCGTGATGAACATTTGTTTCCTCATTAACTAATAAAGTTCATGTTATTCTTGTAGCGATACAGGCAACAACAGTCCCGAGAGATGTATCTTCAGTATTTTACTGGCCGTCTACTCTTTGTTGAGTAAGTTTTGCTACATTTCTCGATTCTTTGTACTTGAAACACAGCACCAGACTTTATATTATAAGGTTTACTTTAAGACAAGAACTTTATTAAACATAGAGAGTATCGAGAGTATTCTCTGACGTCAGAGCTCCTTCGTCTTGTTTACAGTCGCTGACGGACACACACACAGACTCACACTCAAGGGACATAACTAGGATATATCTAATTCAATAAAAGGGACGTAACAATAACTAACAAGACATAACGTAACTTTTAGCAAGTATTTGCGCTTTTAACGTATTCATTGTGCGCGTTGTAGGGAAGGGGAAATGACGTCATATATTGTCGACCCCCCCTCCCTCCCCCACACACACTTAAATATTGTGATTAGTGTGATTTAGAGTGATTTATCTATGTGGTTGTGCTGTAGCTCTAATCTGCGTGTACTGCCGGTGGAAGATTGTGGTCAACCAGACCATCTGTACCAGGGTCACCTCTAGGATCAACAACGCCGGCCTGTTCTTCGGTGTAGCGGCGGCCGTTGGTGTGTTGATCGTTGGTTCTTTCCAGGTTGGTGCACACTCTTCAGTCCAATTATAATAAAACACCGAAATTATAACAGTCAGAACCTCTTGATTATTTTTATTCGCACAATTTCTTACTGATAGAGTTTCATCAATTAATATTTTTACACTAAATCTGTTGGTCTAGGTGTCACTTTTAAACTAAACACTTTTGTAGTTTTTCTTAAATGTATGCGATATATATTTAATCATCGTTTAAGTAAAGTTCCCTTTCAAACCTGACGGTCTATGGGGCAAGTGAAATAGAGCTCACTTATTTCTGTGACCTCGGCATATGAAGACATAGTGTGGTGAGTGGTGAGCACTATGTCCAGCCGCCTTTACTTTCCCTAACGTGAGTTAGGTTCCCATCAGAGTTGGGTGGACTGACTTGAACCCGGATTCGAACTCCATACTTACGGGTTAGCAGTCCAGCATTCTACCGCTAGACCACTCCGTTACTCATCATAAAATATCTTTTATATTTTCCTCCAGGAAGGCTCTGTGCTAATCGTGCACCTGATAGGGGCGGGGATGGCGTTTTTTCTGGGCGTGGTTTACATGTGGCTACACAGCGTCCTCTCCCACAGACTTCCAGCGATCAAGGGCAGCTCCACATGTCTGGTCTTCCTGCGCTGGAACCTGACCATTCTGGCTACAGCAAGCGGCATCAGTTGTAGGTGTTAGAGCAGTAACAGTCTACTGTACTGGTATAGGTGTCTGTTGGGGGGGGGGGTGATACATGAATGAATGGTACCCATGTAGTGTTATAGGTGTCTGGGGTAGTCCATGAAAGGATGGTACCACTCTACTGTACTGGAATAGGTGTCTTTTGGGGGGTGAACATGAATGACTGGTACCCCTGTAGTGTTATAGGTGTCTGGGGTAGTCCATGAAAGAATGGTACCACTCTACTGTACTGGAATAGGTGTCTTTTGGGGGGTGAACATGAATGACTGGTACCCCTGTAGTGTTATAGGTGTCTGGGGTAGTCCATGAAAGGATGGTACCACTCTACTGTACTGGAATAGGTGTCTTTTGGGGGGTGAACATGAATGACTGGTACCCCTGTAGTGTTATAGGTGTCTGGGGTAGTCCATGAAAGAATGGTACCACTCTACTGTACTGGAATAGGTGTCTTTTGGGGGGTGAACATGAATGACTGGTACCCCTGTAGTGTCATAGGTGTCTGCTGTAGTCCATGAATGAATGGTACCACTCTACTGTACTGGAATAGGTGTCTTTTGGGGGGTGATACATGAAAGAATAATACCCTGTACTGTACTGTTATAGGTGTCTGTGGTAGTCCATTAATGAATGTTATCACTGTGTTCTACAGTTATGTGTCTGTGCGGTGTGGGGTGGTCCACGAATAACATCACACAATTAAAGGGGACATTGGGGGGGGGGGGGGAGGAGCAACTTAAATTTCCAGGGCTTAAGGGAGAAATTGATTTAAGCATATATTTTCTATACAAATTATACATTTTTACATTTCGTTTGGGAGGCTATGGACTTGTTTTTGACTGAAACACTGAAAGAAGTAGTAGTTTTCTCTCAGATTTTCTTAAATTAACAGTATAAAATTATCATTAGATTTTTATCTAGTGATGTTTTTGACAAAATCATCCAAGTCTGCAGAGGTATTTTTAGGACACATTAATTTTAATTGAGTTAATTCCCTTTCATGAGAAGCAGGAGGCACCCCCTTAAGGGAAACAACTCCATAAGTATTTTAGAAACATTGCTGTTTCAAATTTGAAAATATGATATATTTTGGGAGGGGATTTTGAAAATGTGATGTCAATTGAGGGGATCTGCCTTGTTCCATGTTGAAGGGGTGAGGTAAATATGAATCAGTAAAACAGATCAGTAAAACAGAATGACATCTTGTAAGAACCTTCTGTCGATAAATCTTTTATTATTAGGCCTGATTGATATCAGAGCAAGCTGATAATCACTGTTCGAAATTTCCATTATAACGCCACCAATAGCTCCATAGTTTTAGCTGGTTACAGGAATTCAGTTATAGCTTTGTGGCCAATAAATAAGTAGGCTACCTATAACAGAATATGCTTACTTTTTTGACATTTATTTAAAATATGTAAAAATAATAATTTTTACAATTTTTTTTCACTAATAAAAAAAAATCACCTCCACAGTTCCTGTGTTAGCTGGGATATTTGAATTTTACAAGGATGACCCCCTACAAGATGTAAAGGTTTGTGATAAATAGTATTTTTATATACCGGCTGTGACTTATAGAATTTCAGAGTTTGGCAGATATTTAGCTTTTGGTAAGCTTGTATTGTGACAAATATCAAATTTAGGAGTTTTAGTTTGTGACAAATTGTAGAATTATTATATATTTTAACTAATATCCTTTTATGTAGTGTATTGAGGATTTTTAGATCATGACTAATTGTGTTTTATTGTGACAAATTGTGTTTTATTGTGACAAATTGTGTTTTATTGTGACAAATTGTGTTTTATTGTGACAAATTGTATTTTATTGTGACAAATTGTGTTTTATTGTTAAAAAAATTGTGTTTTATTGTGTGAAATAGTAGTCTCACTGAGTGTTTGATGTGACAAATAATTCTTGAATATTTTGTCACAGTTTCTGGTCTATTTAAAAAATGGTTAAATTGTTTATATAGGAGGGTTTCGATATTGTATCAAAGTAAGCCATTGTTCCTTGTGCTGTGCACACATGTATTATTCAGATAAATGTTTTATGTTGACTTTATTGTGTCTATGTTTTATATTGACTTTATTGTGTCTATGTTTTATGTTGACTTTATTTTCTCTATGTTTTATGTTGACTTTATTTTGTCTATGTTTTATGTTGACTTTATTTTGTCTATGTTTTATGTTGACTTTATTTCCTCTATGTTTTATATTGACTTTATTGTGTCTATGTTTTATGTTGACTTTATTGTGTCTATGTTTTATGTTGACTTTATTTTCTCTATGTTTTATGTTGACTTTATTTTGTCTATGTTTTATGTTGACTTTATTTTGTCTATGTTTTATGTTGACTTTATTTCCTCTATGTTTTATATTGACTTTATTTTGTCTATGTTTTATATTGACTTTATTGTGTCTATGTTTTATACTGACTTTATTTTCTCTGTGTTTTATGTTGACTTTATTTTCTGTATGTTTTATGTTGGCTTTATTTTCTCTATATTTTATGTTGACTTTAATTTCTCTATATTTTATGTTGACTTTATTTTCTCTATGTTTTATATTGACTTTATTTTGTCGATGTTTTATGTTGACTTTATTTTCTCTATATTTTATGTTGACTTTATTTTCTCTATGTTTTATATTGACTTTATTTTCTCTATATTTTATTTTGACTTTATTTTCTCTATATTTTATGTTGACTTTATTTTCTCTATGTTTTATATTGACTTTATTTTGTCAATGTTTAATGTTGTCATTATTTTCTCTATATTTTATGTTGACTTTATTTTGTGGATGTTTTATGTTGACTGTGTCTATGTTTAATGTTGACTTTATTGTGTCTATGTTTAATGTTGACTTTATTGTGTCTATGTTTTATATTGACTTTATTGTGTCTATGTTTTATGTTGACTTTATTTTCTCTATGTTTTATGTTGACTTTATTTTGTCTATGTTTTATGTTGACTTTATTTTCTCTATATTTTATGTTGACTTTATTTTCTCTATGTTTTATATTGACTTTATTTTCTCTATATTTTATTTTGACTTTATTTTCTCTATATTTTATGTTGACTTTATTTTCTCTATGTTTTATATTGACTTTATTTTGTCAATGTTTAATGTTGTCATTATTTTCTCTATATTTTATGTTGACTTTATTTTGTGGATGTTTTATGTTGACTGTGTCTATGTTTAATGTTGACTTTATTGTGTCTATGTTTAATGTTGACTTTATTGTGTCTATGTTTAATGTTGACTTTATTTTCTCTATATTTTATGTTGACTTTATTTTCTCTATGTTTTATATTGACTTTATTTTCTCTATATTTTATTTTGACTTTATTTTCTCTATATTTTATGTTGACTTTATTTTCTCTATGTTTTATATTGACTTTATTTTGTCAATGTTTAATGTTGTCATTATTTTCTCTATATTTTATGTTGACTTTATTTTGTGGATGTTTTATGTTGACTGTGTCTATGTTTAATGTTGACTTTATTGTGTCTATGTTTAATGTTGACTTTATTGTGTCTATGTTTAATGTTGACTTTATTGTGTCTATGTTTTATATTGACTTTATTTTGTCGATGTTTTATGTTGACTTTATTTTCTCTATATTTTATGTTGACTTTATTTTCTCTATGTTTTATATTGACTTTATTTTCTCTATATTTTATTTTGACTTTATTTTCTCTATATTTTATGTTGACTTTATTTTCTCTATGTTTTATATTGACTTTATTTTGTCAATGTTTAATGTTGTCATTATTTTCTCTATATTTTATGTTGACTTTATTTTGTGGATGTTTTATGTTGACTGTGTCTATGTTTAATGTTGACTTTATTGTGTCTATGTTTAATGTTGACTTTATTGTGTCTATGTTTAATGTTGACTTTATTGTGTCTATGTTTAATGTTGACTTTATTGTGTCTATGTTTTATGTTGACTTTATTGTGTCAATGTTTAATGTTGACTGTGTTTTCTGTCTTGCAGATGTCTGACTTCCGCCTATCAGCAGCCTCCATAGAATGGGGCCTGGCTGGATTTGTGACCATCTATTTCCTGACTTTTGTGGCTGAGTTTAGGCATGTCAGAATTGGGATGCCAGTGATACACACCTCTAAAGCTAGCTCGGGGTTCAGTGCCCAGAATGGTAATGTCCCTTTAGAAGTCAGGAGTGAAAAAATGTAAATCTGAAGTCCATAAAAGTATGCATTAAAGAAGTTGATTTGCATTTAAAATAAGGAACTCTTCATTTCAAAAAGTTTAAAGTTGTCCCCAAATCAGATGTGTTATGTCATAAACAAGTATTTATCAACAACAGAAAACAACAACTAGCCAAAGATGTCTCAAAGAGACAACTGTGTAAACATTGGACTCTTCCAAAAATAGGGATGTTAGGCTGTTAGTATTATTGTATGAAATTCAGTTAATGTTGGGCCAAATCAGGGTAAAGGCTATGGATGGACTTGGGTTAGGGATTATATTAGAAAGCAAATTATATTAGCTTATAATTAATTACTAGTAACCTAGCACCCCTTTTTGAAGAGTTTTATATTATGTGTTATTGTGAGACTGGTATGAATCCTACACCTTTCAATGAAATAGTAAATTAATTCTTATTTGTATATCTAACCAGCTGTTCAAACTATTTCCTTATAGTGACAAAGTGAGGGTTTATGTTTGATCTAGTTTTAATTATTGTAATTAATTTCATAACTATTGTTGAATGATACATTATTTTTGACTGGTTTTATATTTTTCTAAATTATGTAAAAATATTTTTGTATGTTTATCTTTGTAAAAACGGGGCTTTTTTGTTTATTGATACCTAATTCATTTTACCAGATTTTATAGAAAAATGTATACAAAATGGTAGCCTACTTTAAAACATTTTTTAAATGTTTAATTTTATAAAATAAGATATTACTAGTTTTAAATGCTTGGACCTGTTATAATTTCATTGAAAGCTAGTTACATCTAAGGCTATTGCAGTACTGACTTATTTAATAAAACAATGAAATTCTAGGTAGGTCTTCAATACAATTAAAACATGGAGTAAGCAAAAAGAATTGTTAATATAGACAGTACATTCACTTTAAGATTATAATTTACAGGAATTGATATAGAAATTGTATGATAATTTACTTGACCACTTGTTATTTGTTTATGGACAATTTGGTGCAATGAAAAAAATTATCATATTCTTATTTATTTATTGGGAGTTAAAATAATACAAATTTCTGGTCCTGGAATTTTTTTTGTTCTTGTGAAATATTTCAATGAATACTTGAATTAGCAAATCTAACTCTTGTTGTTTCCTAACAGCTATTCTTAAAACTTGTCTCAAAGTTGGCTGTGTAATATTGGTATTTATTTTAAATTAATTTAACAAATAATGTGAAGATGTACTAGATATATTTATGTTAGAAAATGATTTTTAATCTAATTTTGAGGAACAAATGTGTATCACTTGTTCGAATCCAGTACAATTTTTTAAAAACATTTTGAAAAGTGCGGGTTCATTTCCATTTTTTTTAAACATTCAGAATTTTTTTTGTATCATAGATGTGTATGAATGTACCATGTTTTTAATTTGTTTAAAACATTATAAATTATTATTTATTTATATGCTCAAGGACACTCTAAATTATGTTATATTATATTAACTTGTTGATGAATAAATATTGCTGATTTTTATACGTAAAAGGCTTTTTTAAATATATTAATTCATTCTTTGATTCTTGTGTACTTAACGTTAATTGTATTATTTTATGGGATTAAAGCAACTAATACACAAAGGTTGTAATGGGACTAATGACCAACATTGACATCGCTTAATATTGGAAAGTACTTGAGGAATTCATCAACAGCTAAATATTGGAAAATACTTGAGGAATTCAGCATTTCATGGTATGAAAGTCAGCATTTTGGGGTGTTGAAGTCGGAATTTCATGGTGTGGTGTGGAAGTGACCAGTGTATACAATTAGTGGATGCCATCATATAGAACATTGGAAAGCCTGAATATAGAATTATTCCATGCCACCATATAGAACATCTGAAAGCCAGAATATAGAATTATTCCATGCCACCATATAGAACATCTGAAAGCCAGAATATAGAATTATTCCGTGCCACCATATAGAACATCTGAAAGCCAGAATATAGAACTAGGACATGCCAGCAACTCTGAAAACCTATGAAAAATCCTATGAAAGCTAGAAACACCAGAGGAACACCAAAGCCTATAAGACAACCTTAAAGAACTAGACCAACTATTACAATAAACATTTCGCCTCATGTCAACATGTCCTGAGAAAATAAACAAAACATTTGATGTAAACAAACACGTCTCACAGTAGCCTAGATGGAATGTGGGTAACTTGTTTGAGATTCAACAACAGACGAGTTAGAGAATGTGTATTTTTGTGTTGTTTTGATTTAAACCGCGGTTGTTGTTGTTATTTTTTTTAAAGTTTTTTGTTTGTGCGTGCAAGTAATCTTTTGTCCCTTTTGATTGATTGAAATACAGAATGAAGCAGTCTGTGTTGCGACGTGTGTGTCAGCGGTAGCCAGTCAGTAAGTTTGGCTCATGTGTTTCTCTGTCTTACACACTGATTCAGTACTTTTCACCGTACTGCCTGAAAGCCGCTACAATCGTTGCCATTTCAACGCACTGGTTGAAAGCTACTATTATCGATGCCATTTTTCCCGAGTGCTAACTGAACGATGTACAAAATGAATGAGAAGAGAGCAGGGGAGACAAACTCCATGATCTGACCAAAAGACGTTTAGTTCTGGATCCGATTAAATAGAGTAGCCTCCCTTTGAATTGTAAAAAAAAAATTTGACGATTCTAATATGAAGAAGTACATGACGAGAATCTGAGAGATAAATCATTTGAAGGACATGTTTTTTGGACTGAACAAGTCTTTATGGTACTCAGAAACAGAGTTCCTTCCAGGCATCTCTTCTCTTTTTACCGCCCCCCCCCCCCCCCGAACGAAATGAAATTTATATAGTTTATATAGAAAATATATACTTTTAACAGGGTCCGCCCCCCCCCCCCCCCCGAAGAAAGTCTACCCCCCCCCCCCCCGGAGAAAAAAATCTGGAAGAAACACTGCTCAGAAAGTAGGCAACGTGGCATACACAGTTTAGGTGAAGAAATGGATCTCTCCCACTCTGTTCGGCTCAACAACCAGAGTTTCTTCCAGACTTTTTTCTCCGGGGGTGGGCACTTGATATTTTCGGGGGGCGGACAACATTTTCAGGTCGGATGGGGGGGGGGGACACTGGTAAATGTTATCTATATAAATTCCATTTCGTTCGGAGGGGGGGGGGGGGAGAAACTCTGTCAACAACTGTTGATATAATAAAATCGTCTAGTCTGAGGTTACGTTTTCGTTTATCCGTACGTCACTTCCTGCCAGAGTGTAGTGCCGGAAGACCATTGTGTCTGAAGCAAATAGGAATACGTAAGATGGAATATCACGGCTAACTTTGGCTCTCAATCTCTGCCCCCCCCCCCCCTCATTCCTGCACTGACGGTTTCAAACTAAGTCCCCTTCCTACCATGGTGGCAGTGTAGAGTTACTTCATCAAACGTAAACTCTAACACTTTAAATAAACCGGGAGTGATCTCCCCTAAACTTTCTCGAATATTTTTATATAAAATAACAGGGGATGGGAACTCGGGCTATAGACATGATTTTTAATCCATATTTAATACTTAAAGTTTTAAAAATAGAATAAAATCTCTTAGACAAATTAATTGCACACCAAGTGAACGCGAAATAAAAAAGCGCATAATAGTGCGCAATATTATTAGTACTTTTAAAATTTACATTAGTTTTTTGAGAAATCGGAAGTAGCGTAAATTACTACTTCCGGTCAACGGAAATTACTCAAAATTTAACAGAAGGTAGAGAATTAGATCTTTTACTTACATGTGAAATTTCATTTATCTATCTGAAATAGTACTCAAGTTATAGGCTTTTGAAAAATTCAAAGTAGAAAAAGTACCACTTCCGGTTATCGGAAATCGCTCAAAAGTTGATACGGATCTACGATTTTGATAAAATACTTATATATGAAATTTCATCAACCTAGCAGTAACGGTACTCAAGTTATCGTGTTTACACACGGACACACAGACAGACAGACACACACACACACACACACAGACATACGGACAAGATTACAAAATTATGTTTTTCCGTATCAGTGAGGTGTAAAACGTCGAGATTTGTAAAAATCTCGATTTTTTTTTTTGCACGATTACAATACTTTCTCTATACTACGTATATACGAGAAAGTAAAAAGAAACCTTTTAAAACTTATTTCACTTAGTGAAGACATAAAAAGTTTGATAGAAAAACCACACCCTTTTAATTGAGAAGTTGTACTGAGTGTGCCTTAATTTAATTCACTGTAGGCCTATCCATATATTTTTGTTTTTCTGTTTTTGACCAAGTCCAATAATAAATTGTATTCTTTAGTTTTTAAATCGGTCTCTACCTAGCGGAGTTATTTATTTATTTTTTATTCTTGTTTGTTGTGGAGAGACAGACCTAGTCTAAGATATATGGATGATGTGGAGACAAGCCTTGGCTCAGATATAAATATTATGTGTAGGGTCGTATTACTGTTTCATCCGACTGTCTGTCACCCCTTTTACACTGTTATCGATGGTGTGACTTGGGTTAAGGTTTGGGTTAGTGGAGACATTTACTACACTTTATATTAATGTATAGATTACTACAAGTAATAAAATACACCCATTTTTTAATTTAAAAAACCTATATTTTTTTTATTGCAAAGGAATAAAACATGAACATCAATGTAAAAAAAAGTAATACTTGTTCATCATTTTTGTTTATTCTAATTATGTTCTAATTATGTTCATTACTATTTGTTAATAATTCCCTACCGGTTACAAAATAAAATATCTGCAACGCATTATTACATTATAACATCCTTGTTACCTTTGTATGAAGAAATTACATGCTAATTGCTATGCAAAGACCTGTTATAATTTCAACATAACTAATTACATGTTGTGGTATTACCATTAAAGTTTTTTTAAAAACTTTGAGTTATAAATGCAATGAAATTAAAACATTCAAAACAATATATCCATGTTACTGGTAGCAAAAAGCTGCGATTACTAAAAGTTTACAATGTACCAAAAGTTTAAGGAAATTGGTGTTTGTTATGAATCGTAAATCGGACCCTATTTGTTTATGCAAGAAAATAATTAATATTGACGTCATTTTTAGGAAATTCTAGTTATCATGGTATACAATAAAAATAAACTTGTATTATGTTTTTTTTTAATTGTCTATTTGTGTATTTCATTTAGTTTTTTAAAAAAATAGTATGAAATTGTAATGAAATCGAATATGAACTGAATTTTAAATGAATTAACCAAAGTATGAATTGTAACTTCATTTGATTATCACTCAATCACATTCTAAATTATGTTACAGTAATTGACTTACTCAATACATAATTCTGATAGTAGATCTATATGTGTAGACGAATTTTATATTATATTTCTAAATCAATTCAATTGTTGTAATCTAAATAAAAATTTATAAATTAAATAAAAAATATATTCCGGATAATTCTATCATTATTTAATTAACATCTGCGTTAACTTATATATTTATTTTAGTATTTTATATTTTACAATTAAAATAATAATTAATACATATCTATCATAGAGAAACATAATATTTTAGATGTAGTTTTTTTTTTCTAGTCTTAAATTGTTCAAAACACATTGTCATATGAGAGTATACGACGCCATCTTTGCCCGCTGAGGCCCCACGTGTCTTCAGACGAATAACACGAATATCTTTGACCGTTGTAACTTTAAGGTGAGATTTAAAACTGTACCGATGATGAAACACGCACGAAACAAAAAACTCTAAACAACAGAAAGTTGGACGAGCATTGATTCAACCAATGGTGCAATATAGAGATCAACCAGAATAAAAACAACATTCGAATCATCACGATCAGGGTCTTATAACCAATCACATAAACGGTTTACATTATAGATTTATTTGATTTACGCATTATCTGATGTATGTTTTTTATTTTATTTTTAAATAACCAATCAGCTATTGCTGGATCATGAATGTATTTTTAGAAATGTACTAGACTACCCGTCATCCGTTGGATAACTGTGGGTTTCGGGGGTCATCCATCAAAAAACATCACGTCTGTCACTCAGAGGCATAGCGACCCTTCCCGGCGCCCGGGGACAAACTTTTCGATTTGAACCCCCCCCCCCGCAAGATTTCGATTTGCACCCCCCCCCTCAAACTTTTGATGTGCACCCCCCCCATTCAAACTTTCGATTTGCACCCCCCTCAACCTTTCAATTTATTTTTCCAAACCATTTTGGCGCCCCAACATATGTCCCCCCACGCGCCCCCCTTCCCCCTCCACCTCCCCTTCCCCCCCCCCCCGCCTCCCCCTCCCGCCCCCCCCCCTCCTCGCTACGCTACTGCAGTGTCACTTATCGTCACAAAAAACAGATCCCACATTCAAAAATATGTTTCTTATCTTTTAAAAACACCGAAAACACCGATTTCGGACTATCCCTTCATATACTGACGTCACATGTGACCTACTCAACTCTACTTCACCTGCCCAGTGTCCCGCCAAGTCTCAGACAACATGTTTT